GTACAACCTTTGTGATTGTATTCACAGTCCTGCAAGCTACTTTAATCATTATTATTATTTTAATTAAGGCTAAAAGAGGTGTTGAAAGGTGAGGTGAGGTGTTGAAAGGTTAATAGTGGTGCTTTTTAGATCATGTGACCATTTGTTTGAACAAAAACCACAGTATACACTAAAATGTTTTCATGTGCATTTCATAAAGTTTTTTGTATGGCCTAATGGTTAGGGAGTTAGACTCAAAATCCAAAGGTTGCAGGTTCGATTCCTGGTCCTGCTAGGAATATCTCACTTTTGATATTCACTTCTCCATGTTTGTGCTCACAGGTTGTGTGTGCGCTATCATTTCTCGCTAGTGTCTGTGTTTGTGTGTGTGTGTGCACTCGGATGGATCAAAAGCAGAGGACTAATTTTGAGTATGGCTAATACTCACTTCCTTCACATCTCTCACTCATTCAGGGTTTGCTTATATGCTGCCAAGATACATTGAAAGTTTTCTATTTAGTGGTCAATGACCTTTAAGTTTATCTCTTTACTTGTGGTGATTGTATTTAGGCTTTACATTTTTAAAAGTTGCTCTCAATTTTGGAGATTGCAGTGATGAAAAAAATGATAAATGTGACCCTGGACCACAAAACCAGTTTTAATGGCGCACTGGTATACAGTATACAGTTTGTGATAAAGTATTATTAGCCCCCCTTTGAATTTTTTTTCTTTTTAAATATTTCCTAAATGATGTTTAACAGGGCAAGGAAATTTTCACAGTATGTCTGAAAATATTTTTCATCTGGAGAAAGTCTTATTTGTTTTATTTCGACTAGAATAAAAGCAGTTTTTTAATTTTTAAAAAACATTTTAAACCAAAATTATTAGCCCCTTTAAGTGATTTATTTTTCCGATAGTCTACAGAACAAATCACTGTTATACAATAACTTGCCTAACTACCCTAACCTGCCTAGTTAACCTAATTAACCTAGTTAAGCCTTTAAATGTCACTTTAAGCAGTATTGAAGTGTCTTGAAAAATATCTAGTAAAATATTATTTACTGTCATCATGGCAAAGATAAAATAAATCAGTTATTAGAAATTAGTTATTAAAACTATTATGTTTAGAAATGTGTTGAATAAATCTTTTCTCTGTTAATCAGAAAACGAGGAAAAAATAAACAGTAGGCTAATAATTCAGTGGGGTTAATAATTCTGACTTCAACTGTATGTGGCAATAGCCAAAAATACATTGTATTGGTCAAAATATTCTTTTATGTTAAAAAAAAATAGAATATTAAGATCATGTTCCATAAATATATTTTGTCAATTTTCTACACTGAATTAAAGAGAAAGTCTTTATTTTTAAGGTTTAAATATCTAAAAATTCAAGTAAAATATAGTTTTTTGCAGAAAAAAAGAGTCAAATTAAGTTCAGTTTTCTTTAAAACAAGCTCAATTATCTACTAGTGCATACGTAAAATAATCTTATTTCAAACCTAAAACAAGTTTAATTTACCTACACTGTAAAAAGGCAGGGTTCCACACAATTCATTCATGTTGTCCCAGCACAAATGGATTTACAAATTTATGTGGATTGAACATAAAAAAATTAAGTTGTCCCAATTAAATCTCAAGAAGCTCATTTCCGCTCATTTTAATTAAGTAGTTTGAACAAGTTTTTTTTGAGTGAACTGCACTGGCAATTTATTTTTCTGGTTTAAAGGAAAAATTAACATAATTTTGATTCATTATTTCTGAAATCAAAACAATATTTTTACTTAATGCATCTTGATATAAGGATTGTTTTTAGATACTTGGGCTAAAAACAAAAACTCTATGTAAGAAAAGCCTTTATTTGCAGTGTGCTGTAAATACAGTCTATAAAACTCTAAATTTTCATTGATTCATGACTTTCGGCCAAATCCCTGAACTATAAGGGGTCGCCACAGCAGGATAAACCCCCAACTCGATTTTGATAAGCATATCAAAGAACTTTTGCCAACTTTAAAGGCATATTTCTCAATATTTATACAGTGCTCAGCATTACAGAGTACACCCCATTTTGAAAATGAATATTTTTATAAATTTAGAATATAGGCAATGAATTTTGGTGCATTTAAACAAAACTTTTTTTAATAAATTGATTTATTATTGATTTATTAAACAGATATATTTATTAACGTAATATTTTAGTCACCAAATATATTTAAAACATTGAAAAATAATGCAACTAAATTCAAGCAAAATATTGCAAAAAATTACAACCTACAAAATTAAAAAAATAATAATAATTTTTTTGCTTTTCTTGAGTTTTCCTCTTTTTAAATTTTGTATTCAATATGTTTCTATAACATAAATTTGTGTGCAAGTTTTTAGACCGTTATCGTAATTTATTGTAAGCTCCAGATTTGGCTTCAGTACTGACTAATCTAATTTATATGGACAAATATAATATTGTATTAATATATAATATTGCAACACTTTTTTAAATGTTCTCCCCATGTTAGCGTGGGTTTCCTCAGGGTGCTCCGGTTTCCCCCACAAGTCCAAAGACATACGTTATGGGGGGATTGATTAACTAAATTGGCTGTAGTGTATGTGTGTGTTTTTCCTAAAACATATGCTGTATAAGTTGGTGGTTCATTTCGCTGTGGCGACCCCAGATTAATAAAGAGAATGAATGAATGATCAAATTTGTTATAAATGGGTTTCTTTTGTTTCAGTCACATACATTAAATGTTTAAATATCTATTACATATGGTACTGCTTATATTATTTCACCATCTGTACACCAATATTAGTAGTGAATGTGCGTGTTCGTGGGTGGGGCTGTGTCGGTGTGGTAATGTGGGCTGGTGTGGCTACAGTGCCAAGGCTGATTTTTTGTTCTAGTCCGCCCCTGCCTGTAGTACTGGATGCATCTGCTTATTAAAAAAATAAATAAATAAACAAGCAGTACATGAAAATGTGTGCATGTGTGTGTTCACGTTTCACCTCTGCAGCTCTTCCCGTCTCTCTGTAGCATTCCCGTCACACAGCTGCACACAGCGCCAGTTACTTGACTAGTGCAGATCTGCTCACAGCCACCATTATTCTCTTCACACCAGTCTGAATCTGAAACACGCATACACACGCAGGCACTCTTATAGCTGTAATCACCTTGCTAATACACAAAACATCTAATTATACACCCACATCCTATTGCCTCCAGTCTTAATCTACACATACACACACACACACACATGCACAAATCTGAAAAACACTCCAAACCTCTTCTTCTGATTGGTCCCACTGACAGGATCTGTTCTTTATGCTGACTGTAGTCTGTATAACTCCTTTTGTTATGCGGGCAATTCTGTAATGGCAAGATATTATTATCAATCTAAAAGAAGCAGATCACCAAGATGAGCAAGAACATAAGCAAAACCATCACCAAATTTACTCTATCCATCAATTCACACTGTTTCAAATGGTATCAGTCGATTCAAATTCAATTGTCAGTTCTGTCTATTTAGTCAATTCTGAATTATTTATAAAGGAAAAGTTTACCTAAAACTGAGTGTTCTGTAAAGCAAAGGTCTTATAGTTAATCATGTTTTTAAATTGTTATAATTTTTTAATCCTATTTTTAAATTTTCTGTAGATTTCAGTTTAGTTTTAGTTACAGTTTTTCTTAGTTGTTTACACACAATTACTTGTACTACATACACAATTTCTACAACATGTAACTGATGCACCAACCCCCTAAACCAAAAAAACTACAAGCACAATTCCTGCTTTACACTCAAATTACAGGTTTACAACACACTTTTTTCAAAACTACACACAATTCTCTGCATTTTGCAGAATTTTCATGCAGAAAATCTTTTGTTTTCACAAGGAACACACTGTCATTCACAATTGTAAAGTCAGCTGCCCTACTTTGCATACTAACTCATCACATGAGTAAACACTTGTCTCACTGAATTTCAATTTAGAAATCAGAGCTCATCTGGATCATAACTGGTTCACTGCCCACCCACAATTTTTAGTGGTGTATCTCCCTCCATATTCTCCATTCCTCAAACCTGTTGAGGAATTGTTTTTCTGCCTGGAGATGGAAAGTGTATGACCGAAATCCACACACACGTATACCCCTATGGCAGTTGATGCTTTTCGTGGCTGGATTCACCATGCAAGGTGACATTTCCCCAGCTGCTTGGCCAGACCAAACAGAAAAGAGGATGCAGTATAGCTGCCTTTTTTTTTTTTTTTTACTGTATTGTTATTGTATTGTGTTGGTTGGGACGAACACTGTGTACACAGTTTTTGTGGGAAAAATACAGTAAAATGTATTTGGTATTTGTGTGTTTTGTATAAAACAATATTCTGAAATATTTTACAGTGCACTTCTGTAGGCCTATATACTGTCGGTCTGTAGTAAGTGTAACACTGAACAAAAAAGGCTGACAGTAAGTCATTATGATGAATGGTCATAGTGTTTTACATTAAGCACATTAGTGTTCAACTGTTCTTATAATTGTCTATTGATGAGATGGCTTGTGTGTGTCATTTGAAAACAAAATACCATTTTGAGAAAAAATTACATCGGTTTGAACGTACAGTTGAATTTTGCAGAAGAATTGAAGAGTTTTGCCCAATGTGTGTGTGTGTTTTGTGATTTGTGTGTAGAGTTCTGACAATATGAGACCTGCTTACAGAAAATGTGTGTAAACAATTGGAAAAAACTGTAATTTAATTAATGGTTTTGCTCGTTTTTATTTCGTGAACACATTTATACTTGGTTATATATATTAAGTTTCAGTTTTAGTTTGAATCATTCTAGTTTTGAAGAGTTAACAGAACACATCCAGTCTTGAGCGAAGCAAATTTCTTAGTTTTAAAATGAAGTAATCGTTTGAACACACACTGAATCACAGAGAAAGCGATTGATAGAAACAAAAGTAAAAATTATGATGAACAAAAACATTCTTTATTCTTCATATTAAAAATCAGGTCTGCAGTTAAACTTGTCGGCAGCTAGCTCTCTGCAACTCCCACACAGGATGGGAGGCCACAAGGGAAAGCTAGGTTACTGCTGGAAGTGGTGTTAGTGAGACCAGCAGGGGATGCTCAACCTGTGGTCTATGTAGGTCCTAATGCCCCAGTATATTGAAGGGGACTTTATACTACTCAGTGAGCGCTCTTTGGGATGAGATGTTAAAACGAAGTCCTGACACTATGTGCTCATTAAAAATCTCAGGATGTCCTTCGAAAAAGAGAAGGGGCTTATTTGTCCACTATGGCCTCCTAACCATCCCCATATCATAATTGGCTTCATCACTCTGTCTCCTCTACACCAATCAGCTGGTGTGCAGTCTTACACAATATGGCTGCTGTCATCCATGTGGATGCTGCACACTGGTGGTGGATGAGGAGATTCCCCCCAAAAGTGTGTAGAGCACTTTAAGTGTCCACTCATGCACTATATTTTATTAACAGACACTGAATAGTTTGGTCAGACACTGAATCATAGAGAACACAACTTACAATACTATCAAATCAGAAACAATGGTGAATTAAATCAAAACTCGGGACATGAATCTGTGGGCATCTCACAGCAAGAAGATTACTGGATCGAGCCCCGGCTGGGTCAGATGGCATTTCTGTGTGGAGTTTGCATGTTCTCCCCGTATTGGCGTGCTCCAGTTTTCCCCACAAGTCCAAAAACATGCGCTATAGGTGAGTTGGGAAAGCTAAATTGGCTGTAGTGTATGTGTGTGAATGTGTGTGTATGGACGTGTATGTATAAAACATGCTGGATAAGTTGGCGGTTCATTCCGCTGTGGCGACCCCTGATTAACAAATGGACTAAGCCGAAAAAAAAATGAATGAATGAATTAAACAAAATTCTTCCTATTAACGATCAGACATGTAGTTAAACTTGCCTAGTCTAAAATTTTTATTCAATGAAGAAAATGTTTTAGTAAAAATGGCATCTACAGATAAACAGCCGCAGGTCATATTTTCCATCACATAATGAGTGCTTACTAATTCTGAAAAGGATATTATTTTTGCCAAATATTATATTATGTTGTCTTCAGAGACTGTAGGTTTTTTTGGTTTAAGTTTTTTACTTATTGTGATTTTTAAATTGTATTTCAGTAAAAAAAAAAAAAAGTTTTCTAGAACTACTGTAGTTTTAGCCGTTCCATTTATCATAATAACCTTGCTGTTGTCATTTACTCACCCTTGACTTGTTCCAAACCAGTCTTATTGTTCTGTGGAACACAAAAAAGATGTATTGAAGAATGTTAGAAAGCGGTAACCATTGACATCTAAAGTCTTTCCTACTATGGATGTCAATAGTTACCGGTTTCTAACCTTATTCAAAATGTCTTTTTTTGTGTTCAACAGAACAATAAAACTGGTTTGGAACAAGTCAAGGATGAGTAAATGACGATATAATTTTCATTTTTAACTGAATTGCCCCTTTAATGCTGTAATAAAACCTTTTTTAATGGCAAAATGGCTAAACATATAATAAAGGTGTTTGTTTGCATGCATTGTGTGTACAAGCTCTCACCACTTTGCAGGCGTTGGTCTCTGAGTCACACAAAGTGACGTCACAGTGCAAATGCACCTCATCATAATCCCCAATGAACTTGAAGACAGTGACGTGAAAGCGGCAAGTGAGGGACACGCCGTTCTCTGCCATGCCTATTGTGTTATCCTTGATGTTCGGACACCTGAAATTACAGTTATGTAATATAAGCTCTGTAACCTCATTGGCAAGTGTTTAGATGTGTCATGTGATAAATACAGGTGATGTCACAATTATTAGCCCTCATTTCTTGAATATTTCCCAAACGATGATTAACAGAGCGAGGATTTTTTCACAGTATTCCCTATAATATTTTTTCTTCCGGAGAAAGTCTTTGTTTTTATTTCAGCTAGACTAAAAGCAGTTATTAATTTTTTAAAAACATTTTAAGGTCAATAATATTAGCTCCCTTAAGCAATATTTTTTTGATTGTCTACAGAACAAACCATCGTTATACAATAACTTGCCTAATTAACCTAGTTAAGCCTTTAAATGTCACTTTAAGTTGAATGCTAGTATCTTGAAACATATCTAGTAAATATTATGTGCTGTCATCATGCCAAAAATAAAAGAAATCAGTTATTAGAAATGAGTTATTAATCTGTTTAAAGCAATTCACAGATTGTATTATTCCAAAGCAAAATTAAGTAAAATTTCTAACTCCATATCCCCATTCTGCGACAGATGCAAAATTAACAAGGGTTCCTTGCCACACATGTGACAAGGATCCTAAATTGTTTGTTTTTGGGACTGCCATATTTAATTTTTTTTCAAAGGCTTTTAAAAAGGAGGTTAAGCCAGATCATTGCCTAGCAATTCTTGGATACTCTGAGGCATTAAACACTATTCCAAGTTTTCAACAACGACCTCTATTGATGGGCATGATTCTTGCGGGAAAAAAAAACAAAACAATTTAATTAAACTGGAAATCCCCAGACTCCCCATGTTTTAAAGCTTGGTTGGGTGAATTGTTTCATGCCATACAACTGGAGAGGATACGTTTCCTGCAGCCCAAATCTCACCTGCAATTTCAAACTGCCTGGCAACCCTTTCTGGATTTCCTTAAAACTGAATAGTGCACTACTACTCTCATAGTAATGACTGAATTTACTCTGTTGTTAATTCATAATCTAGTGTTGACTATGTTAAATGTCTCTCACTTATTTATTTATTTATTTTTATTTATTTTCAATTATTTTTATTTTTTAGTTTTTTTGGGGGGGGGGGTCAATTTATTTTATTATTATTTATTTATTTTAATTTTTTTTCTTGTACTTCTTTGTGTGTGTTGTCTTGTTGGTACATTATGTAAAACCGTTTAAAAAAAAAATTAAATAAATTTTAAAAACAGAAATGAGCTATTAATATTAAACTCATACCCCGGTACCGGGTCCATGACGTCATTTACTTCTGCATTTTTTTATTTTAAAGGTCCATTCGGGCCTAAGGGCTTGATCACACCGAATGCGCATTTACGTTCCAAAAACGCGAGGTGCACCACACTGCCTCTTTTGTTAATAAGAAAAAAAGAAGCCCAGTGCGCTTTTTATGTCACTAGGAAATGACTGAATCAGCTGGGTAATGTGCGAGAGTTTTGCTGTTGATATTAATATAATTTTAATATTTAATAATATTGTGATATTCAAGATTTGAGAGTCATACAGCTCTGGATAACCCAAAACAGCAACCACAAGTCTCTCCCCCATCTTCAAAACTCTCCGTTGTTGTCTTGACAACACAAACACTTGCAGGGTAAAGTCTAGATCGGATACGCAGCCGGCCGGAAGTGCAATATGCACAATAATGTAGCAGAATTTTTTTTGACACTGTATAACAAAAATGAATGTTTTTACAGTTCTGTGACGGTCGGGTTTAGGATTGGGGGGGGATACACGTAAAAAAAAATTATTTATTGGTTAATTTAATAGATAAAATAAATAAAACTTGGCACAACTACTGATTTTACAGTACTGTGACGGTTGGGTTTAGGGTTGGGGTAGACGTCAATAAAATACAATAAATGGGAAATTTTATAAATAATATAAATAATTCTTAGGGCGACGCAGTGGTGCAGTAGGTAGTGCTGTCGCTGGTTAGAGTTGCTGGTCGCTGGTTTGAGTCTCAGTTGGCATTTCTGTGTGGAGTTTGCATGTTCTCCCTGCATTCGCGTGGGTTTCCTCTGGTTGCTCCGGTTTCCAACACAGTGCAAAGACATGCGCTATAGGTGAATTGGGTAAGCTAAATTGTCCGTAGTGTATGAGTGTGAATGAATGTTTGTGGATGAAAAGAAAATGAACGCATGAATGAATAATTCTCGTTGACTTCCGGCCACAACCATATCCGATCTAGCTGCAACCCCACTCCAGGCACCTCAACGGAAACCCCGCCTCTGCTTTTATTTGATTGGAGAATGAAACAGTAAAAACAGCGTGACTGATGTAACGCGCTTTCTCCGCTCAGAGTTGACTTCTTCAATTGACACGGTGCACAAGGGCAAAAACACAAGGCGCCGCAAGGGGTTAAAGTGCAAGGTGCGCAGGGCGCATAAGCAGCGCGCAAAACTCTTGCGGCCATTAGTAAACCATTCAAAAGAGGCGCCTCTCAACGCATAAAGCTCAATCAGTGTGATCGGCCCCTAATAACCCCATAAGTGGTTCCGTTCTCTAATCAACTGGAATAAAATAATTTTTGCATAGATTATGATAGAGACATTTATCTTTTTCCCTGTGATTACGGAACCAACTAAATTAATTACAGCAACCTAGACGACACAGAACCTAAAAGGTAAACTTTCAAATTTGCACCTGTTTTTTTGGAGGGGTTTATTATAACAGACAGCATATACTATTATTTTAATCACTTTCAACAGTGTTTTATGAAAATTCAAAGGGTTTTCTTTAAAATGATACCAAGCTTTTGCATTTACACCTCTGCATGTGGATTTGGGAAGCTTTTCAATTTGGGTAGGCAAAATACAGGCAAAAAAAAAAAGAAAAAAGCACAACTATTATGTTTAGAAATGTGTTGAAAAATATTAAATAGAAATTGGGGAAACATTTACGGGGGGGCTAATAATTCAGGAGGGCTAATAATTCTGACTTCAACTACTGTATTGAAATACACTTAGTGCCAATGTGTTGTTTTTGCACTAAGCTATTTCCTCACCCTCTCTCTATGATAATGTAGCGGAGTCGATCATTGCTGTAACGAGATGGTGTAGCCCAGCACATGTTAACAATGAGAATAAGCTGTTTGTCATCTGCTCCTTCCACAAACACCCCCACAAACAGAACGTCTCTGGTGCTCAGCACAACCTCTCCCTCGCGGTACGGGTGCCGGTATGAGGCGTTCTTGTATAAGGCCATTTTTGTGATGAAGTTACCCTCTTGGGTTGGCAGTGTGAGGTTTATGACACTGTGGACAACAAAAAGAAAGAGAGAGTTATTATATCTTTAATCATTATCTTATCTGTGGTGCAGTCAACTGTACAGTGCTAATGAAATGAGTTACATTATGTATTTGATCAGCTTTCTTGGTATTTATTTATTTTAAAGGGGAAATTCACCATTAATCCTGTTGAACACAAAAGAAGATATTTTATAGAATGCTGAAAACCTGTAACCATTGACTTACATAGTTTTTGTACTATATAAACTCACTGGCCACTTTATTAGGTACACCTTACTAGTACTGGGTTGGACTCCCTTTTGCCTTCAGAATTGCCTTAATCCTTTGTGGCATAGATTCAACAAGGTACTGGAAATATTCCTCAGAGATTTTGGTCCATATTAAGATGAGAGCATCACGCAGTTGCTGCAGATTTGTCTGCTGCACACTAATGATGCGAATCTCCCATTCCACCACATCCCAAAGATGCTCTATTGGATTGACATTTGGTGACTGTGGAGGCCATTTGAGTACAGTGAACTCATTATCATGTTCAAGAAACCAGTCTGAGATGATTCACGCTTTATGACATGGTGCGTTATCCTGCTGGAAGTAGCCATCAGAAAATGGGTGCACTGTGGTCATATGGACATGGTCAGCAACAATACTCAGGCAGGCTGTGGTGTTGACACGATGCTCAATTGGTACTAATTAGCCCAAAGTGTGCCAAGAAAATATCACCAACACCATTTTCTCCATTTCTGACCATTCTCTGTAAACCCTAGAGATGGTTGTGCGTGAAAATCCCAGTTGATCAGCAGTTTCTGAAATACTCAGACCAGCATGCCAAAATCAAAAGTCACTTTAATTAACTTTCTTTCCTGTTCTGATGCTCGGTTTAATGCAGCAGAATATCTTGACCATGATAGCATCACGGGACCCAATGCATAATGCACTTTATATTAAGTGTCCCTAACTACTATGTACTTACATCAAAAAATAAATACAATGTACTTACTGTGTTCATAAACATTTGAGAACACTTTTGAGTTGGAATAGAGGTTGGGTTATGGACAGGTTTGGTGGCATGGGTAGGTTTAAGGGTAGATTAAGGTGTAAGAGATGGTCAACAGTGTATTTACAAATGTAATTACAAAAGTTAATTACAGATGTAATAATTACATGTATTTAATCAAGCATAAGTACACAGTAAATACATGTATTTACACTATAGTACATTGTAACAAACTATGTTTCTTCCTTGTAATTGGCTGTTAGAAAATTGCATTAACAAGCAATTGGACAGGTATACCTAATAAAGTGGCCGGTGAGTGTAAGTCAATGGTTACAGGTTTTCAGCTTTCTGAAAGCGGAGCAGAGCAGACTGCACATCCCTAACCTTTGTAGATTTTTGTTTTCTGTAATGGTGAATGAATGGCGTCTGTCAGCTGACCTGAGCATTGGCTTCAGTACGGTCTCCAAGGATATCTTGATGTCCAGTTCATACGCACAGGAAAACTCCACGTTGATCATTTTGTCGCGCGTCACCACACTCCCAGTGTTGTTCAAACTCTCGATCCACACCGTGTTCTTGTACATAATGTGTGTTCCATTTGACTAGACTCACAAATGCACACACACAAGCACACACATAAAGTAACTGCATTTAATAACATTTCAGCAGGAAACAAAAACTAATTCAACCGATCAAACTGCATATACAATGAAAATGTAGACTATGAAAAGCATGATGGCAATGAGAAGAACATGAGTCTTTTTTGAGCCCTTTGTAATACATGCTTTGTAGATCAAATTTTATTTATTTATTTATTTTTTTAAATGACATCTAGTTTATTTAAACGTATTTAAGTTGTCCATGATTTCAGGGAAATTTAGTGTATTCTGACATACAGTAACCTTTGATTTGCTATTTGTGAACGCTTACGATGTCTATATACTATGTATATTTTCCTGCATAGACTGATTGGCATGACTATGCATTCACAATGGTATGAACCAATATAGGGGTGGCCAAATGTATAATTATTTTATGCATTATTTTAATTAATAATATTATTATTTAAGATACGGATTAGACAAAACAGTTTTTTACTATTAAAGGTCTGATCCCCATCCCCTCTTTTAATTAGCACGCTGCTTTGATAATGGTCCATATATTATGGGAAAATATTAACTAAACAAAGAAAAAAAATCAAGAGAGACAAAAATGTACACAAAAATGTAGTTAGTAAATTGTTTTTTGCAATATTTAAATCAATTATCTTTCTATTTCTAAACATGTTCGGTGACTAAAATGTTATTTTAGTCAATATAACTGTTTAATAAATCTGTTTTGTTTAAATGCACCAAAATAAACTACCTATATTCATTGAGAAATGGATAAAAGTATTCATTTTCAAAATAAGGTCTATTCATTTCTGCTGAGCACTAGGTGTATACTGTATAGTATTTAACTTCAAAAGACTATTACTGCTGACTTAGGTAAGGTAAAATTTGCATTATCTACAATGTGAAACAACTATTATTTAATGAGTGTGTTTATTATGTAAATGAACATTTTAGTAAAGCAGTTGACTGTGATTCACAGCCTATACTATGTTGTTTTGAATTTACAAATTGGATTTGTGTATTTACGAATTGTGTTTTGAATTTATGAAATGAATTTATGTATTTATGAATCGTGTTTTGAATTTATGAACTGAATTTATGCATTTACGAATAGTGTTTTGAATTTACAAATTGGATTTGTGTATTTACGAATTGTGTTTTAAATTACCAAATTAAATTTATGTATTTACAAATCGTGTTTTGAATTTATGAATTGAATTTATGTATTTACGAATCATGTTTTGAACTTGCGAATTGGATTTGTGTATTTTTTAATTATTTTTAGAGTTACGAATTGGATATTTGTATTCACTAATCGTGATATGAATTTATGACTTGGATATATGTATTTACAAGTTGTGTTTTAAATTTATAAACTGAATTTATGCATTTACAAATAGTGTTTTGAACTTATGAATTGAATTTATGTGTTTACGAATCATGTTTTGAATTTACAAATTGGATTTGTGTATTTACGAATTGTGTTTTAAATTTACAAATTAAATTTATGTATTTACAAATTATTTTTAGAGTTACGAATTGGATTTGTGTATTTACTAATCTTGATATAAATTTATGAATTAAATTTATGTATTTACAAATCGTGTTTTGAATTTATGAATTGAATTTATGTATTTACGAATCATGTTTTGAACTTGCGAATTGGATTTGTGTATTTTTCAATTATTTTTAGAGTTACGAATTGGATTTTTGTATTCACTAATCGTGATATGAATTTATGACTTGGATATATGTATTTACAAATCTCGTTTTGAATTTACAAATTGAATATGTGTATTTACGAATTGTGTTTTGAGTTTGCGAATTGAATTTGTTTTTACAAATCGTGTTTTGAATTTAGGAATTGAATTTATGTATTTACAAATCGTGATATGATTTTATGAATTGAATTTATGTATTTACAAATTGTGTTTTGAATTTACAAATTAGATTTGTGTATTTTTGAATCATGTTTTGATTTTGCAACTTGGATTGTGTAAACATGAATTGTGTTGTGGATGTATGAGTTATATTTTGTAAATGTATAATTATTGAGACTGATCTGTCTCCATGTACAGTATAATGACCCTAATGAAACAAATACACATTCATTTACCATTAACAAACACATTTGTACACTAGTATGCTGCTCTAAACATATTTGTGTGAACAAACAAGGACAAACAAGGACATTTGTAAGATGTGTTACGAATTAAATTAAAAATCCTTAATCAAAAAGAGATTTGATTAAGTCCATATGTCCTTGTTTGTTCACACATTTGGAAATGTGTGTGAACTGAAGAGCACTTTCCGTTGTCTCTCAAGATGCTGAGACAGTCTGAACTGAGACATTCTGCTCTTGAACAGTGTTGTTAATGAGAGATAGGGGGGGAAAGATTTGTTCACCTGTACAATAGAGCCACAGTGTCCCTTGGTATTGTTGATGTGGAAGGAGATGAAGTCCTCTCCCTCAATACCAGGGCAGTGCTGGTCGTTGATTCGTACATCCTCCCTCTCAAAGCCCAGCTGGAAGAGACGGCACTTAGAGATGGAGACCTCCATCTGAGCGTGCTTACAGGTCACTTCAGCCTGGATGATGTCATCTTCACCTACACCACAAGAACAACATGTCCTGGATATAACTGACTTTCAAGGGTTTCCTATGTGCGTTAAATTTTGTTCAGTGGCATTGGTTACGTTCTTTCTCTCCAATATGGCCGACTGATGACTGAACATTGAATACACTCTATAGAAACATTAAGAAAACATATTCATCAATTTGACAGCATACTATGCAAATCCTCACAACGCAAACAAATTAAGAAAACACACTGCAGTTTCTCACAACACATTCAAACCACATGGAACATGATGGAAATGTTTCAAGGGGACCCAAAAACATGACGGACCTGGCTGGGATTTGATTATCGTGCAGTGACTATTGCTCAGTGATTTGTTTTACTCACTAATGTCATTGTTGGGAAGTTCAGGGCAGCCACAAAGTTCTCCGTTCTCCTGCTCACATGTGTTGTTAGAGCAGATCTCTCCTGCACAGGGGTCATAGATCCATTCTGCTAAAGACAGGTCCAGTTACAAAGTTAGCACACAGAAACACACATGCAAACACACACAAAGTTTCCATATATCCATCCCTTCATTTGTACTTTTTCATATTAAATATTTACTTTTTGTCAAAACTGTAAGAATGGGCAGTCGTAATCGTACTCTTGTAAATACTGTAATGTTTTTGATCCATACTATAGTAAAGTACTTAAAGTATATGTTGCGGTAATTCCATAGTTAATATGGTAACACAACAACTATAGTAATACAAACAAATGGCCGAATACTGTAGTTTAAACGACTATACAAAATCATAGATTGTACTACAACACCACTACAGTATTTGTTAGTTTATCAGTGACCACTGGCTGAAAGATTTGACACATTACATTGCACTGGGAAGAATCACTGACAGTATATGGCGCTAATTAAAGGAGCACCATAAAATTTGTGATCTGTTTATACAGTTTTTAGAACAAAAACATAAATTTAAGCACTTTCAAGAACCTGTGGTTGTTTTTAAGTACTTTCCAGACCTTGAATTCATATGTCTGAAATTCAAGTACACTTAAAAGCAAAGAATATTGCAAAACTGTTGTAAGCAATGTATATATTAAATTAAATTTAGTAACGTTCAACTTTGTTTAAATTCAGCCCAAATAAATTGTTTGCAACCCTTTACCTTCAAAAGAAAATTGTAAATCCAATAATTATTTTTTTCAGGGTACTTTCAAGAAGCTGAGAACCCATTTAAATATATATATATATATATATATATATATATATATATATATATATATATATATATATATATATATATATATATATATATATATATATATATATATATTATAAACAAATATAATAAATAAATATTTATTAAATTAAATTAAATTAAATTACAATAAATTAAATTAAATTAAATTAAATTAAATTAAATTAAATTAAATTAAATTAAATTAAATTAAATTAAATTAAATTAAATTAAATTGTTGAGCCCTGCTGCCATTCACAGTCTACACCCCTCCCTGTTGTCCTGTAGGTGGCAGCGTCCCCTTACAGCAGTTCTCCTGGGTGATCCACTTGGTGGTGAGAGTGCCGAAAGAGCGGCAGGCCTCAGCGTAGGCCGCCATAGAGCCGCACACCTGGGCCTTGCGGTGGTTGTAGCAGCCGTCCATGTAGCATGACTGGTAAAAAGGATGAGGGTCCAGCAGACCGTGGCAGGGCTGGAAGAAACCTTTCAAATCGGTAAGCTTCAGGCAGTTGTCCTCCCCCTGGAGCTCTGATACTGCTGTATTATCACAGGATTGAGCCAGGGCAACATACTGGGTCTCATCACAGCTACATAGAAGAAAAGGAGGATATAAAATGAGTGTAAAACGTAGCCTACATAACTGAAAGTACTGACACTGAGTGAACATTTTAGTAAGTTAAAAGTACAAGTGTCTGGCCAAAAATATAATGAGTGAAAGTAAACATGTACAGCTTTAAGTTGTACCTGAGTATTTGAAAATTAATAGTTTCTACAGGTGCTGTTAGGACCACTACACTGCAAAAAAAAAAAGAAAAAAAAGAAATGCTGATTTCTAGTACAAATATCTAAAAACTCTTAATTCAAGAAGCATTTTGTAGACAAGCAAAAATATTGTGTTGTTTTAGGAAATGTGCAAAATTAAGTGAGTTTTTCCTTCAAATTAAAACAAGCAAAAATAATCTTTAATTTTGAAACAACTTTTATTTTGACACAATATTATTTTGCTTACCCTATCGGCAGATTATTATGTTTGTTGGAAGGAAAACTCACTTAATTTTGCCATATTATTTAAAAAAATAATCATATTTATTTCACTTTTCTAGAAAATGCTTCTTGATTTAAGATTTTTTTAGATATCTGGACTAGAAAAAAGACAAAAAATCTAAGTAAGATATCCTTTTTTTGCTGTGTACCACCGCCACAAGACAAAAGAATTCAAAGCAATTTACAGAAATTAGGCCTTAATAGCCTGTAAATGAAGATGAAATAATAAAACAAAACATTATTCCTACTTAAATTATTATAAACTTGTTCATTCATCTTCCTTCAGCTTAGTCCCTTTATTCATCAGGGGTTGCCACAGTGGAATGAACCACCAATGTATCCAGCAAATGTTTTACACCGCGGGTACCTTTCCAGCTGCAGCCCAGTACTGGGAAAGATCCAAACACACTCATTCACACAAATACAATGTGGCCAATTTAACTTAACCAATTCACCTATACCACATGTATTTGGGCTGTGGGGGAAACGGGAGCACCTGGAGGAAACCCATACAAACACGGGTAGAACATGTAAACTCAATAACGAAATGCTAACTGATGCAGCCGAGGCTCAAACCAGTGAATTTCTTGCTGTGAGGCGACAGCACTTAACACTGAGCCATCGCATCGCTCGAATAAACTTGTTAACAGCCTTTATTATAATTATAAACTAGTTAACTGCAGAGAGGAATCATTTTGGAAATCAAAACAACTGTAAAAATAAAAGACAGCTATAATAAATAGTGCACAATTATAAATATATAAAGCAACGTTTTAGCCTAAATAAAGAGAGTTGTGTACATTATCTGTTATTTTAAAGTGATAATGGGTAAATTAAACCTTATTTGTTAAATCATCATATTTTCTTTTACTCACTCACTCACTTTCTTTGGTATGTTTCATTTACTATATAGTGTACCTTTAAACACTTAATTAGATAATAGTAATATATCATGAAAACCAAAAAATCATTGATAAAAAAGTTATTTTTTGGTATTTTATGGGTGAAAAAAGCTCTAAATTAAAAATTTTTGATTTTAAATTTGGAGGAAATGTCAGCAGTAGTTTACAGAAACAGAACACAAATAACTTTTTACTCAAACACACACAGTAACTATAACTCATAAATAAAAAAACAAAACAAAAACCCTGTCATTTTTAAATGTTTTTTTTTTAATTTCCCATAGCTGCATACCACCCTGAAACAATGCTGTGTAACAACATACATACATTTTTTACCATGTTAAGCATGCACATTTGATTGTCCGCTTGCCATATTTACTGCACTCAAGTAAAGGTATAGCCAGCATTTTAATTCAGAATTTACTAACTTAGAATTTACAAATTTAGTCATTTACTAACATACAAATCTCTAAAATTAACAATTAAAGGGATTTCTCACTCAAAAAATAAAGATTTACACATCATTTACTCTATTAAGTGGTTTCAAAGCTTTTTCTTTTCTTCAGTATTTTCTTTTGTATGTATGTTTTTTGTATGTATGTTGAAAGTATGTTGAAAACCAGTAAAAGCAAAGTGCTGAGAAACACCAAGAGGCGACACTCTAGTGTGCGATTCGGGAAATGGCTGTTAGACGGTGCAGCAGCCATTTTGGAATAAAAATTTAAATAGAACAACAGCATATTGCAAGTCTGTAAGATAAACTATTAAAAGTGCTGATGATTGTGATAGTAAGTGTTGTATTGTCGTCATCCAGGTTGTATCTCAGCTTTAATGCACTTTTTAAACAAATAAATAAAAAACAAAGCATCTGCTTGCCAACGCGACAGTAATGAGAGCCAATGTACATCCGACCGCTTTCACTCCAAAATGGCGGAATCCGGTGCTGTTACTGGGTGCTGCTCTTGCAATGGAACGTTTCACTGAGTGTTGGCTTCTGGTCATTTTAAGCTCTTTGGTAAAAGCAAATACTATGGAATTCAATGGTTACTGAAAACTCATAAAGGTTTGTGACTACAAGTGAAATATAAGTAAATGATGACAGAATCTTCATCTTTGGGAGAACTATCCCTTTATGTATGGGAAAGAAGTAAAATGACTCAAGTATTTTAAACCCCTGAATATAATGCTTTCTATTGCTAACCTGTTCTGCATGCCGTTTGTCTTCCAGCTCTGAGCGAGCTCCAGTGCACTGACAGCAGGTTTTCCACGAGAGGTGATGTAGTCATCTGTGGGATCCCCGTTAAAGTTCCCACACAGTCCACACACCTTGTTCTGTAGCCGTGGACCCATTGTAATGCTGAGGGTGTTGAATCGATTATAACGAACCTGGATGTCCTGAGGAGTGTCGATCACCAGAAATCCCTCAGATGTGGATACTCTTGTCATTAGACCTGTGACAAAAGGTACGGACACGGGCGTACCGTTTACCTAAGGCAAAAGAGGAAAACACTTAGCATTTAGCTAGGAAAGATGAGTAATGTCCTAATCATTCTAGAATTGCATAGCCAACATATAAAAAAGTCACAATCTGTCTATTAAGTGGGTGACAATTTCAACTAAATCTAAAAACCTTTTATGCAAATAGCATAAACAACACTTCAAGGACCGGAATAAGTAACCCTTGGAAAATATGTTTCAAGTTTTAAGAAGCGACACTGTTTTTACTTCCATATAAACTACAGAAACATTGTTTTTGTGCAAATAGTGATGTCATGCGCTGGTGAGTCATGTGTTCAGGCATGCATGAATACTATTCAAACAAAAACATAGATAGATATTTATAGATATTAATGTACAGCCGTGGCTTTCTCATGCCGAGTTCAGACTGCATGATTTAAGCCCTGATTTTGACTCGGCGATGGTTTTGAGAAATTGCCTTAAATCACATGCAAATCGGTGCTCGTTCACGTGAGTGACAATCACACAGTGAGAACTATCAAGGACGCGATATGAGAATCACCGATGAGTCGCAGACACCCGTGAGATATATGGCATGGTAAATATCTGGAGCTGTCGACGATTCAAATCATGCCGTGTGAAATGTTTTCTGACTGAAAATAACATCGGCGATCACCTACAGTCAATGAGAAAGCAGCATCTACTAGTACGGGCCAGCGGAAGGCAGGGGGAGAAGTTAAAAGCACTCATTTTTAGTTTATTTGGACTCAAGAAATAGAGGAAAAACTAGTGTAAATTTGGTAGAAGCTCTGTGTCTGTTTGACGTGTCATCTGATCAATATCACAATCAGGTCTAAAAGTAAATAAAAGTTGAGGAGAGATTGTTAATTCTCTTCAAAAGCCAGGTGAGCAACACAAGATTCTAAAGCTAAAGCCCTTTTTCCATTATAGTTAATAACGAAAGATATATATATTACGTGACCTCGCATTGTTTTCATGTTACTTCTCATGTTTGTTTGGTTGTGAGGTGTAGTTTGGACAAAGTTGTCTGTGATTCTTCCTATTTTAAGTCATGCAGTGTGAACTCTCCTGTCGCCAATCCATCCTACAGTGTAAACAATGCACCGACAGAACGCTAACCCAGATAGTCATGCTGTGTGAAAACATCCGTGACACGACTACTTTAAAAATCGTACAGTCTGAACCCAGCAATAGTTGACACACTCGCCATTGTACTGTTATTTAAAATCACAGGAGGCAACGCTGAGTAGGATAACTGTCATGACAAAACGAAACAAGTCACCAAGTGGAGTTGCATGGTGGAGTAGCTAAATGATTGAATATAATGTATATATCAAATGAATAGTTTGTGGATAAGTTTGGTGAAAACTCATGAAAACATTTGGTGAAAATGTTCTTTGTTAAGTATTTCCGCCATCTTGTCAACAACATTTTGTTGTAACAACTCACATGGTTCAATGGGATTTCGATAACTGCAAGTTACACCTCTTTAACTTACTACAAGTTATGCCCCTTCATGTTACACCCCTTGTAGTCTGCAGACAGATACACTTGGATCATTTTGCAGAGCCATTGCTTCAATTAATTAATTAAATACACCTACTACTAGAAAGTGATATCGCTATAATTACTCTTTTTGCATGGACATTACAAGAATTATCACATACATTTTTAGACATTAGTTACACATCCATGTGTCCAGGAAAGGTTTTGACAACACTAGTCTGTAATTGATACTTTTAAAAATGCTAAAATATATTTGTCTACCTTGTGTAAATGGACCATAAAGCAACTCTGTGTAGAATGTAGCTTCAAACTCAACTGTCTGTAATATCACAGTTATCCTGAAGCCCATGGTCAGCTTGTTGTTGTCTTTTTGATTACATTTAGAGATAAACTATGCAGCTTATATAGAGTTTAACTTGCCATAACACACCTGTCTGGATGATTCTAACAGGCCTAGATTCACTGGTTCAGCCACCAAGGCTATTTACTCTGCTGCAGCCCAATACCTTGATAGACATTTACTTTTGCATCTGTTGCATTAAGGTCTGTATAGCCCCTTTGTCTTTGAGAATGAGAACCCAATCCCAGTTTTTCCAAGAAACAAGTTGAAATCTGAGATGAGCTCAGGCCCAGAAAAGCCGGCAGCATTGCACAGAACTAATGTATAGACTCTTTACATTTTCATAGGAAATCTTATCGTTCCCAACCTGCAGAGTTTAGCTACAACCCTAATTAAACACACCTGAAAGAGCTAATCAAGATCTTCAGATTCCCTAGCTGCATCTCAACTCATAAGCTGCATCCTTCAAAGTACGCAGATTTCCAAGGTATGTCCTTAAAATCTCTGAGCTTGAAAAAATACTAGAATTTATAGTCATACTACAGTGAAGTGTATTATACTGTATTATTGTATTCACAAGAATTTTTTAATGAAAGCTACAGCATACTGTAGTATGTAATGTACTTTAGTTTTACTAAGGTAAACAATGGTATATTATGGTTTACAACAGTTCTGTCTGGCTCTCGAGTCTGACTGGCTGATGGCTGTGCGATTTTAAATACACCCTTGTGAATCAGATGCGGAAGAAGCGTCAAGCGCGAGAAATTTACATGTCAAGTCAATGCAAAGACACGAATAGACATCCTGCGGCGCGTTATGCACAATTTAGCGAATTTGGCATTTTCTGCGTTTAATACGCGCTTCGCGCAGATCGCTCAAGTTTGAAAATCTGAACTTCAGAGGACATTCGCGCCGCATTAACCAATCAGGAGCTTGCTCTTGTAGGGGCATGCTTATGGCGTAGCCCCTGTTGTTGGTGTCCCTTGGGGTAATTCTCCTGTCTACACCGACAACAGTTCATCAAACTGGGCCATCATCCAAGTACAGTTTCTAAAGGAATTTATGAGCTCACAGAGCTGGGTGCACCTCTGAAAGGATCTAGTGGACTCAGACACGGCTCCGAACGAATTAACGCCGTTTTTCAGCCTTCGTAAAGCACATAAACACAGTTATTTTTTCGATAAAATCCATGTCAGCCATTTAGCAAACGAAGCTAGAGTCAACGGGCAGACAGAAGCCCTGCCCATCACGCAAATCCGCGTCTGTTGTGAAGTGAATTTGACACGCAAATGAAGCGGATTTTGACGCGAAAATGAAGTGAGTAAACAAAAATGTTCATTCTATTTATCTGCGCATTCTGCTTCTGGTGTGAACAGCATAAAGACGGACTAAACAACTCACTACAGTTTGACAAATATTGCAGCTGTTGGACAACATAATATACTTTGAGGCTTTTTAAGGAGAGAATGTAGTTGTTTAGACTGCAACTATGTAGTTTATTTATAAGGATAGTGCCTTATTTTAAATATTTATAATTTCTGAGATACAGGATGTCGGCGGCCATCAGCAAGTCTGAGCAGAGAAAAGACGGTTGACGTTCCGCCACAACATAGCGACAGAGACCGCATCATCAGTCCTTAGGGGAGAAAAACAGTAAATTTCAAACTACAGCTGATCAAATCTTTATAAAACAGATACGTCTCTCTTTTGTATGTAGTGCTTTATTTATACCATAGTAACCTGGTAGTGTTTGCTTTGCTTTGGCTTTTTTGAGGTTAATTATTGTGATATCCTGATTGCAGCAGAGAAATACTGGGAAATCTCTGTAGACTGATGGCATTTCATGCTTTTCAGCCATATAATCTTAAAACGTGAGCAAAATCACCTGTTTTGTCATCACTTAGGCATTACGCTAGAGAATCATTCAAATACTAGCTCTAAAGTGAAGTTTTTGAGTTAGCAGTGATTTCTGCTGATCTGACGGTCAGCTGCAGATGTGAATGAATGGCAGAAGAAAGTAGTTCCTCATATAAAAGGATTTTTGAGACTCTCCATGTTTGATTATCTTTTTTATAAACACAATTATGCCGTTGACCTGTTGTATAAGCGCAATATCACACTTGTAGCTGTGCGATATGGCTGTATATTGGCAATGATGGAAGGCGTAGCCTTACTGTCCCACCAATGACAATATACAGCCATATCGCACGGCTACAAGTGTGATATAGTGTTTATACAACAGTGTACGAGTGTACTATGAGCAACGATATATAGTTGTGGAAAAGTTATAAAGAATTAGGTCATTTGTTTACTACAGTTGTTCTATTACCATAGCAATTACAACAGCAGATTCATTCAAGTACTGTTCTATAGCATGGTTCAAATCATAGTGTTCACCATAAATTACTATAGTGTTTTTTGTTCATGTGGCTGGTGAAATAAGATAAAACCTAGCAACTGTGCCAAATTGCTAGCTGCTGTCAATAACTAAATATAAAAATTTTTACAGGAATAGTTTTATTAAATTAATACTTAATTGTTTAAAAAATTCACAGAATGTCCCTTGGTCGAAACTATTTAAAAGTATAGTCTATATTTTTCTTTTATCTACAAAAAAAGTCCTGTCATCATCAGTACACAATTATATTAAATATTAGGGGAACGATCCAACAGTTGCATCCTTTATTACCCATGAAGTGAAGGACACATTTAGAGGGTGTATTTTTGATTTGAGACATCCTTCACATGACTGACGTCTTGGAATTGAGATGCAGCTAGAAACTCCCAGGAAAATCTGCTAAATTTGGTGAAGCTAAACTCTGTTAGCACAGGATTGGGCAGTCTAAACCAGTGTTCCCCAACCCTGTTCCTGAAGACACACCAACAGTACACATTTTCAACCTCTTCCTAATCCAACACACCAAAATCAACTCATCAGAACATCAGAAGAGACTCCAAAACCTAAAGTTAATGAGTCAGATAAAGGAGACGTTCAGAATATGTACTGTTGGTGTGCCTCCAGGAACACGGTTGGGCACTGATCTAAACCACTATACCTGACTTATTTCTGGTGCCATAAATCATTAGCAGTACAATTTCTGTGTTCTTACCTTGACAGTGTTGCCTGAGATGAGAATGTTCTCCTCGTTGATGTAGAGATAAGCATGGGAGATGGTGGTTAGGTTGGGTGTGCTCCATTTGTCGAAATTGGCAATGAGCTGAAAAGATAACTCTGGCAGCTTGTGGCAGATTGTTGAGAGAACAAACGAGCATGAGGCGGGTAAACGGAGAGAAGCGCCATCAAAAGTGCGGAAGACGCCACCGCCGGACGCCACGCAGTGCTGATTCCGTCTGGCAAAGCATCCTCGCACACCATGCCGCAGGACACACTCCTCCTCCGCTTTACATCGCCGTGGGTCGCACTGAATCAGATTCCGGCCAATACACTGGCAGCGTTTAGTGCAGTCACTGTTCCAGAACAACTGCTTAGGCTGAGAAAGACACAAGTAACTCATATCAAATGGTACAAATTTAAGATATTAAACAAATAATAAACAAATATTGATACCATGTTGTTACAGTGTCAAGTGTATTGTGCATATGTGATGCTATTTGGCTTTATGGGGTTCAAAGCAGTTTCTAATTGAAACTATAAATTTCTGAGTCTAAGGGCCCTATCCTACACCCAGCGCAGTGTGGCGCAAGGCGTGGCGCAATAGTCTTTTGCTACTTTCAGCTCGGCGCAAGTGTAATTTGAGGTGTTGCGCCACACTGTTTAAATAGCAAATGCATTTGCGCTCAAATGTGCGCCCTTAGGCGTTCTGGTCTTAAAAAGCAGGCGTGTTTTGGCACGTTGCTATTTTGAGAAACTGTAAATAGTCTGTTCTTTAGACCAGAACAAAGTCGGTCTATTGTCTGGCGCAAAGTGCGCCTGGCTTACACACTACACACAAGATGCAGAGCAATACACAAATATCTTTACATATGAAAAAGATATAATATATTAAGGATATATATATATATAATAAGGATATATATAGGGTACAAATATAAATGATTAAAATATTACAAAACATATTAATTTCTAGCCTACATAAATTTAAAAACCACTGCCTTTCTTCATCTCGAGAGGCATTTTCAGTTCATTCATAACAATTTGCTTTTGTATAATGTTATTATTATTAGCAGTATTATTTATTATATCCATATTTATATTTGTTTTATTGAAAACAAGCTTAGATTTGCCCACCTGTCAGGTTTAAGACCATATGGGGCATAGCAGGTGTATTTGGATATAACTCAGTATTTTGACCACACTTTGTTATTATTGTTCATTTATTTGTTTGCTGGAAATTAGAACTGAATTTCGAAATAGTTTTGAAACAAATCTTTGCGCTTAACAAACAAAATTAATTATTTATAGGCTAACTGATGTCTGTGCGGTAAGGTTTCCCTATCCACGAGAGCAAAAGCGAAAGTGAACTTACTTTACGTCACGTAAATAGCAAATGCGCTTATGGTGCGATGCAGCTGACTCTTAAAGGGAATGGGAGATGACACTCTGATTGGTTTATTCTCAAAACACACCTATAACTCATTAAAAAAATAAACTTAATCCTTTTAGACCATGCGCCAAGGCGCAAAGTGGATTTTCCCGTCCTTAAATTAGCAAAAATGCGTTCTGACACGCCCTGAAAGCGTTTGCGCCCTGCGCTTTGCTCTTTGCGCATGGACCGTCAAAATAGAGCCCTGAGACACACAATTTAATTTTGGTTTAGATATCCTATATAAATTTGCTTTCCAGGTAAACTGATTAGGTGCTGACACTAATTAATATCAGAAATCTAAAAAAAAATCAGTTTTATAATAAAATAAAACATTGTTCCTTATTGCCAATTACTCTAAAACAGATATTATTACAGTGTTTCTCAGTCACTTTTGTACATTTCTCAGATCCGAATTGAAATTCTCAAAACTAACGGTTCAATCTTCACATCTTGTGTCACTTGTGCACATAAAAAAAGCAATTTCATATTTCTTTGAATAAGTTGCAAATGCTTTAATTCATCCATCCGTAGGATTAAACATAATACACCTCCTGACAAATGTCTTATTGCCTATCCAAGTTTTAGGAACAACAAGTAATAACTTGACTTCGAGTTGATCATTTGGTATCAGAAGTGGCTTACAGTATATAAAAGGCAAAAGCCTTTAGATTACACTTATTTTACCAAAATAAAATATGATCATGCCTTGATTTTTAATTATTAAATTAGGACAGTAAGGTCTGACATTGCTTTGACAAAAGTCTTGTGACTTAACAGAAATAATGTCCAGTATAGATTATAAAGTCAGGCTGCAATGGAAACATAATGAATATTGTGTCTGACTCCCATGAGCTTGGAGGACTGCATCTATACATCTCTGTAATGACTCAAATCACTTATTAATGAAGTCATCTGGAATGGCAAAGTAAGCGTTCTTGCAGGACTCCCAGAGTTAATCAAGAATCATTGGATTCATCTTCAATGCCTCCTCCTTCATCTCACCCCTGACATGCTCAATAATGTTCATTTCTGGTGACTGGGCTGGCCAATCCTTGACCTTCTTTGCTTTCAGGAACTTTGATATAGAGGCTGAAGTACAAAGATCGCTGTTCTGCTGGAGAATTTGCCCTCTACTGTGGTTTGTAATGTAAATGGCAGCATAAATGTCCTGAAACCTCAGGCTGTTGATGTTGCCCCCACTCTGCAGATCTCTCACACACCCCCATACTGAATGTAACCCCAGACCATGATTATTCCTTGATCAAACTTGATTAATTTCTAGGAGAGTCTTGGGTCCATGTGGGTTCCGATAGGTCTTCTGCAGTATTTGTGATGATTGAAATGCAGTTCAACAGATGATTCTTCAGAAAAATCTACCTTCTGCCACTTTTCCAAATGATCAACTAGAAGTCAAGTTATTATATGTTGCTCTTACTACTGGGATCGATGACAAGACTTTTTTCAGGCAGTGTACTTTGCTGTTTCCAACATTATCAACTGCTTATTTCATGTTGATTAAAATGTATTATAATTGTCTCTTTTGAATAGTTCCACCCCCCACAACATTTAGGCATTAGTTCACAGCATAAATCTTTAAATGCAAAATGGTTGAACAAGTTGTCATAATATGTAAAGCATATTTCAACGCACTTCCATCAGACTATTTTCTAAATCTGTAACCTTTTCTAAAACATTTTTTTCCCACTTGTGTTAAGCAGTACTGTCTTTTTTCTGTATCACAACGACATGGTCTGTCAACAAATCATAGTACAAACAGTAAAAGCATAAATGTGAATATTTTCCAGTCTCTTGGAATAAAACCCACACATACACTAAGGTGTAACCTACAATTACCAATAATCGTCATCAAAACTGTGGCCATATTTTACTTCAGAACATCTCTCAAGAGTACACTGTTATATTGACAACTTGACTAACAATTTGACTGTCTTATTTATACACAATGACACTAGGATTTGTCATTCTGTTTGTACTGACGTGTTTGCATCTGTGACGTTGACAGATATTTATTTTCGAGAGATAAACTAAGGATTTGGAGCAAGAGACTGCACTCAAAAATGTTTTTGCTTATTTAAAATTATTTACCTATTTGAAATGAGCTGAATACTTTTTGGTGATAATTTAATTGTTTTATGTTAAATCTAGTTAAATTTGTAAAGACAATTAAGTTAACTTAATCAATTTGTTTTAGGACAACATGAAGAAATTGTGTGGAACCCGGCATTTTTACAGTGTGGCTTTTGCAGACAGTCTATGGTGCTTTGCTATGTGTAAGAGTTGTTTTGTGAAATGCATTTACTGTTTTGAAGTAACTGAGGGAAGTTAATGCAAGTGACTGAGAAAAACTAATACTGCTTTATTTTTACCCTCATCCTTTATATCTGATGAGCAAAACAGCTCAATTTGTTCTGGAAAGTCATATTACAGCTTCATGATTCATCTAAATATGTGACATTGGTAACACTTTATAACAACCACACACTATAAATCATTTATTTTCATTAGCGAATAGGTAATTCATTTTGTCATAACTGATTTACTCTACATTAATAGATGTAGAGACATTAATAAGGGATTTACAAAGCATAAATAGTACTCGCTTTAGATTAGGTCACTAAACTGGACGAAGTTGAGTTAATAACGCATTTACTAGCATTCACTGAAAAATATTATTCAGAGATGATTGCTTGGATTTATTCAATTGTTTTACATTAAGTGGCTGTAAACAATTTATTTGGGCTGAATTTAAACAAACAAGTTAAAACAATTTTATTAAATTTAATTTGTTTGCTTAATTTGTTTGCAACAGTTTTGCAGACATCATTTTTTCAGTGTATAAAGTTACTATTAATATATAAGCTTGAATAATAAGACATATACAGTTGAAACCAGAAGTTTACATACACTAAAAAGAAGTGAGCATAACCATTTAAAAAAAATGTCTGATGGTAAATCATACTAAACGTTTACTAATTTATGTCCGTTAGGATTACTTAAATGATTTACATTTGCTAAATACCAGAAAAATGAGAGATTTTTTTTTTTTTTTTGAGAATTTTTTATACATTTCTAGATAGTCAAAAGTTTACGCACATTTCCTTGGTATTTCTTTAGCTTTGCTTCTGAACTGTATAACCTTGGTCAAATGTTTTGGGTATCCTTCCACAAGCTTCTCACAATAGTTTTTTTTTTCTCCAAAACTATTTTTATTGAACATATTAGATATGAAACATACATTACAAATAGCTTTTCACTTTTTCTTGTTTTTTACACAACAAACAAACAAATCCTGTCACACATATATACATTTAGGTTCTAGAATTTTTTTTTAATAATATTAAGAAAAAATACAAATAAATAGTAATAATAAGTAAAGCATATGTTACTCTCATAAATAAGGGGAAAAAAAAGAAAATAGAAAAAAAAAAACAAGGAAAGGTTCTACTCTTCTAAAATGACTGAGGGGTCCATCTTTTTTATGTGATCTAAAACAGGTTAAGCTTCTCACAATAGTTTGAAGGAATTTTTGAGTCAGATTTGAAGGCTGTCTTGCTCACACAAGCTTTTTCAACTCTGCCCACAAATTTTTATGTAGGATTGAGGTCAGGGCTTTGTGATGGCCACTCCAAAACATTCGATCTGTTGTCCTTAAAGCATATTATAACTAATTTGGCAGTATGCTTCGGGTCATGGTCTGTTTGGAAGACTCATTTGTGGCCAAGTTTTAATTTCCCTGCTGATGTCTTGTAATGTTGCTTCAGGATTTCTACATAATGTTCTTTCTTCATGATGCCATCTATGCTGTGAAGTGGACCAGTCCCTCCTGCAGCAAAACAGCCCCACAACATGATGCTGCCCCCCATACTTCACAGTTGGTATGGTGTTCCTGGACTTATAAGCTTTCCCCTTTGTCCTCCAAATGTAACACTGGTCATTATGGCCAAACAGTTTAATCTTAGTTCCATCAGACCACAGGACATGTCTCCAAAAATTAGTCTTTTTCCCAGTGTAATTTAGCAAATTGTAATCTGGCTTTTTTTTGTTGATTCTGGCTTGTTGATTTTCCCATGTTGTCACACAAGGAAGCAGTGTGTTTGAGGTTTTCCTTAAATACTATTCTACAGTTGTGCCTCCAATTAACTCAAATGTTGTCAATCAGAAACTTCTAAAACTTTGACACCATCATCTGAGCTTTTTTCAGAGGCATAATAATCTTAATGTTTGTAAACTTGACTTTCAATAAAAGTTATAACAATTCCTTAAAAATATCTCTCATTATTCTGTTATCAAGCATAACACAAACAAATTTGATAGTCTCAATTTACCTAAAAGAGAAAAAGTTTAGTCACATTAACATCCGACTTTTTTTAAATGGTTATGTGCCTTTTTATACAGTGTAAACGTCTGGTTTCAACTGTAAATGTGACTTTGAGTAGTTTATTATTAATTCTGAATTATATGAATTATGTTTGTAAATAATGCAAAGCTTAGAGGTAATGAAAAATGATTTATTTCAACGTCTGTTGTAGAGTTAATGCTTAATGAATAATGAACTATTACATTATTACAGTAGAACTATTGTCTAATGCTTAATAAATGATTCATAGTGTGTAGTTATCATAATATTGTGATGTGTTTCCGTGGCATCGTTTCTTACCTCATAGTATTTCCCATCTGTGTAGCATCCGCAGTTTTGATTGAGGATACAGCTCTTGCCATTCAGCACATAGCCCTGGTCACACTGGCACCCCTCAACGCAGTACTGATTACAGTCTCTCTGTCCACGCGCAGGGGCACATTGCGGCTGGCACGCCATCATACAACTGGAATAGTGGCTGTTCACGGGGCACGACCACACTGGGCACACACACAGAGGGGGCAAAACAAGAAGAGTTCACTGGACGGGTGAGTTTCTCCAAAAGTAGACAGGGAAGATGTATTGTGTTTCACTGTAAAGGGCTCATATGAATGTGTGGCATTCACCAGTCTCTGACTGTGATAAAGTGTCCTGTGGTTTCCATGTTGGCAAAACAGAAGATTTTGTAAAATAAGCCATGGTTTGCGGTTGGTCAGCGTAATGCCTGCCATTAAAGGCTTTTTAAAAGAGAGTTCATGTTAACCCAGGAAGTGCAAACTATATTTTATCATTATTATTGACTACAAAAAAAATGGGTCACACTTTAAAATTATCGTCCATTAGTTATTGCATTTACTAGCATGAACAAACAATCTGTACATTTATTACTGTATTTATCCATCTTTAAGTTAAATAGCGTTACTTCATGTTAACTCGCAGTGCATTAAAGTTAACAAGCACGACTTTTGGATTTTCATTCATTCATTCATTCATTTTCTTGTCGGCTTAGTCCCTTTATTAATCTGGGGAGCCACAGCGGAATGAACCGCCAACTTATCCAGTAAGTTTTAACGCAGCGGATGCCCTTCCAGCCGCAACCCATCTCTGGGAAACATCTACACACACACACACTTATACACTACGGACAATTTAGCTTACCCAATTCACCTGTACCACATGTCTTTGGACTGTGGGGGAAACCGGAGTACCCGGAGGAAACCCACGCGAACGCAGGGAGAACATGCAAACTCCATACAGAAACGCCAACTGAGCCGAGGATCGAACCAGCGACCTTCTTGCTGTGAGGCGAACGTGCTACATACTCCACTGCGTCGACTTTGGGATTTTAGTAATTCAATTCAAGTTTATTTATATTGTGCTTTTAACAGTAATTCTTGTTTCAAAGCAGCTTTACAAAGGTGCAGAATATTGCAATATAATCAAATTAAGTTAAAGTTACAATCAAATATAAGTTATTATATACAGACATCATTAACCTGCAATTTTATAACATATACAGTGTATCCGTAAAGTATTCATAGCGCTTCACTTTTTCCACATTTGTTTGTTACAGCCTTATTCCAAAATGGATTAAATTCATTTATTTCCTCAAAATTCTGCACACAATACCCCATAATGAAAAAGTGAAAAAAAAAAATTTTTTTTAATTGTTGCAAATTTATTAAAAATTAAATAAATTAAAAAAATTAAAAATAATAATAAAAAAAACCCTGAAAACTCACATGTACATCAGTGTTCACAGCCTTTGCTTAATACTTTGTTGTTGCACCTTCGACAGCAATTACAGCCTCAAGTCTTTTTTAATATGATGCCACAAACTTGGAAGGTCTGTCTTGGGGAATTTTTACTCATTCTGCTTTGCAATACCTCTCAAGCTCTATCAGGTTGGATGGGAAGGGACAGTGTACAGACATTTTCAGATCTCTCCAGAGATGTTCAATAGGATTTAGGTCTGGGCTCTGGCTGGGCCACTCAAGGACATTCACAGAGTTGTTGTGAAGACACTCCATTAATATTTTGGCGGTGTGCTTTGGGTCATTGTCTTGCTGGAAGATGAACTGTCGCCCCAGTCTGAGGTTAAGAGCACTCTGAAGCAGGTTTTCATTCAGGATGTCTCTGTACATCGCTACATTCATCTTTTCCTTTATCCTGACTGGTCTTCCAGTTCCTGCTGCTGAAAAACATCCTCACAGCATGATGCTGCCACCCCCATGCTTCACTGTATTGATGGTATTAGCCTGGTGATGAGCGGTGCCTGGTTTTCTCTAAACATAACGTCTGGCATTCACTCTAAAGATTTCAATTTGAGTCTCATCAGACCAGAGAATTTTGTTTCTTATGGTCTGAGAGTGCTTCCGATACCTTTTGGCAAATTCCAGACGGGGAGTGGCCGGCCAGCAGAAGAGTCCTGGTGATTCCAAACATCTTCCACTTACGCATGATGGAGGCCGCTGTGCTCATTGGAACTTTGCAGAGCAGCAGAAATTTTTCTGTAACCTTCCCCAGTCTTGTGCCTTTAGACAATCCTGTTTCTGAGGTCTACAGACAGTTCCTTTGTCTTCATGCTTGGTTTGTGCTTCGACATGCACTGTAAACACTGGGAGCTTATATAAACAGGTGTATGCCTTTTCAAATCATGTCCAATCAACTGAATTTACCACAGCTGAACTCCAATTAAGCTGCTGAAACATCTCAAGAATGATCAGTGGTAACAGAATTTAGCTGAGCTCAATTTACAGCTTCACGCCAAAGGCTGTGAATACTTACACTGTATATACATGTGATTTTTCAGGGTTTTTAATTTTAATAAATGTGCAACAATTATAAGATATTTTTTCACATTGTCATTATGGGGTATTGCTTGTAAAATTTTGAGAAAATACATTAATTTAATCCACTTTGAAATAAGGCTGTAACAAAAAAATGAGGACAAAGTCAAGTGCTATGCTTTTATGCTTTCCAGAAGCACTGTAGGTGAGTCTATGTGTACACGTTTAATGAAGTATATTTGTGTATTAAGTGTTTGTGTTGTCCTTGAAGCCCTCGATGGTATAATAATGCATTAGTAAATGTTGAACAATGATTAATAAATGCTTTACAAGATTATTCATAATTAGTTAATGTTAGTAAATACATGAACTAATGGCCCATTATTCTAAAGTGTTATCAAAAAGTGTTTTACATAGAAATCTGATACATGAAAATATATTCAAACAACATTGCATATAATTGGGCTTTTTAAAATACTTTTGTTTCAATTATAAAATGTAAACAGTATTTGCATTTTAATGAAATAAATAATTGTCATAGCAATGCCATACATCTATACATTTTATTAAGTGAATATGCATCATGCTTGCACAAAAACACATAGCTAAGTGGTTAATAAAGTACATTGTGGCTGGATGAGTGGACGTACATAATGATCTAATTCAAAAGATACAGATCTCCATACAGTGTCTGTATTATATTCTTGTCTATAGATATGGATCCTGTCTCTCCTTTATTGTAAGTCCATTGTTTTTTTTCCACCACACCGCTTAAATTAACAACATATCTCCTTTAAAGGATAGTTCACCCAGAAATTCTTATTTAAATTCTGGAATCATTTACTCGTCTCTCATTTGTTCCAAACCTGACTCTCTTTCTTCTGTTAAACATTAAAGAAGATATTTTGTTGAATGCTGGAAACTTGTAACCATTGACTTCCAAAGTAATTGCTTTTAATGTTAATGATGGGTGCAGATTTTTAGTCTCTTAAATATCTTCTCAAGTGTTTAACAGAATAAAGAAACTTGTGTAGGTTTGAAACCCCCTGCAGGTGAGTAAAAAGTACATCATTTTTCATTTTTGGATGGTTTATCCCTTCAAGACGCAGCACAATTTAATATAGAACAAATTCCTTACCTCAACTATTTATTGTGACAATTGTACATTCCTGTGACCAGGCCCGGATTGGCTAATCGGGAGGACCGGGAAAATTCCCGGTGGGCCGGTCCGTTTTTTGGCCGCGAGGGAAGGTGTCCCTAGTTCCAGAATCGGTTGCTCTCAGCAGTCACACTTTTTAAAAATAATTTATTTATTTACTTGACCACAGCCTTCTTATTCATTATTTTACCGCAGCTCTGCTCTTTTCTATCTATTTTCTCGTAGCCTCGTGAGCAGGATGCAGGTTAATGATGATATAGCTACATAAGTCACCATTCAACATATAGCTGTTGTGGTACAGTGGTTAGTACGTTAGATTATGACGCGGCTGAGTAACAATTTTTTTTTTTTTTTCATTTTTATTCTTAAGACATAATACTGTAAGGGTTGTTGAACATTTGAAGTTCTAAAAGTGCTGTTTTCTCAAAAAAAGACGTGATAGTGTAATTAGAAACTGAATTGGAAATAACCTTATTTTAATATAGTCAGTGGTGAACTGAGGTAGGCCGGTCTGAGGCTTGAAACTCCAGGGCTGAAAAAGAGTCCCACTCCGGCCCTGCCTGTGACAAAATATGACCATGGCAAAATGAAAATCATTCTCACCACAGGGTGTCGAACTTCTCCAGCCAATGAGAGGCACTCCTTGTGTCTGACAGGTGCTGGCATAGATCTGTAGCCAGTTGCATATGGTCTCTCTTGCGCCTTGATCCACGCATGTGTCCTGCAGACAGCTCTGGTAGAAGTATGCTGGTGCTACTTTGCTGTGACAGCGAGCAAACACGCCACCGCGGTCTATAATAAGTCCACATAATCTCACCGCCTCAGGTTCGACATACACATACAACCCTTCAGCGAAGTGGAAACGGTTTCCGGGGTTACCGTTATCCATGTCGATGTTACCAACAGCATCGGTTACTTGCGCGGGGACCTCTGCGGCCAGGCCTCGTTCAACTAGTCCACAGCGGGGGCAAGAGTCTCCGCAACCCACTTGGCAGAAAGTGTCCCGGTCAGCCCACGCCATGCCCCATTCAGTGACGCTTAGAGCGGGACCAGAAATAGGCAATCCTTGGCAAAGCCCACAGGTGGCGTTAAACAGACTACGAGGCAGAGTGAGGAGCAGTAGAGTATTCCAGTCAAACGCCACCTGTAAAGAAATGAACCAATGGAGGATATTGTAAACAGTAGGGTTTAATGGTATTTTCTTTGTTCTGTTTAAGTGTTTTATGTCCTACAGTATATAGAAATCTGATACATGGAAGTATATGCATATAACGTTACAGCTAGTTAGGCTTCAGACGGTTTTTGATTCCTTGTTGCTATTAATTGCTGTAGCTTGCAGACACACAACTTCATAAGACGTTAATTTTATGTTGGATTTAGGTCACCAGCATCTGAGGCAATGGTCTCAAACTCAATTCCTGGAGGGCCACAGCTCTGCATAGTTTAGCGTCAACCATTTCCAACTCACACCTGCTTAATAGTCTATAGTAATCATGAACACCTTGATTGTTTGGATCAGCTGTATTTGATTAGGGGTGGTACCAACTGTGCAGAGCTGCGGCCCTCCAGGAATTGAGTTTGAGACCATTGCCTTAGACGCTGGTGACCTAAATCCAACATAATATTAACGTCTTATGAAGTTGTGTGTCTGCAGGGATGATTTTGATGTCCCATAATGACGTCATGATGTCCTCATAATGAATTTGATAATTTGTTGATTTGTTGTGTTGTAAAGTGACCAAAATCCATCGTCGACATCTTAAACCAATGTCATATTGACGTCAAATATTGACATTTATTCATCAGTTATGGTAACCAAAATCCAACATCTTGTTGTTCATAGTGGTTGTGTTGCGTCGGAAAGTAATCAAAATGTAATGTCTATAGCAGGGGTGCTCAATCCTGTTCCTGGAGATCTACCTTCCTGCAGATTTCAGTTGCTACCCATATCAAACACACCTGAACCAATTAATTAGGACCTGAACACCACTTGATAATTACAGGCAGGTGTGTTTGATATGGGTAGCAACTGAAATCTGCAGGAAGGTTTATCTCCAGGAACAGGATTGAGCACCCCTGGTCTATAGTATCCGACATTCAATGCAAAAAAATATTTTTGTTCAAACTACTTATTTAAAATGAGCTGAAACAACACAATTGAGATTTCATCAGGACAACTTAATTGTTTTATGTTAAATCCACATACATTTGTTAAAAGTGTTAAGTTAACTTTATCGATTTGTGTTGGGACAACATGAATGAATTGTGTGAAACCCTGCATTTTTTACAGTGATGGCCTGACTTTGAGTTCTGATGTCAACCCGATTTTCATTTCCAAGCAAAATGCAACGTTTCATACGCTTATTTCACACGGCCGCCATTTTGAAAGCGAGGCTGCGGTGGGAACCCTGCTGAAAAATCCAGCCTAAACCAGCCTAGGCTGGTTGGCTGGTTTTAGCTGGTCAACCAGGCTGGTTTTAGAGGGGTTTCCAGCCATTTCCAGCCTGGTCTTAGCTGGAAAATGACCAGCTAAATCCAGCTAAAACCAGCTTGACCAGCCTGGTTTAAGCTGGACATAGCTGGTTTTGGCTGGGTTCCCAGCCTGGCTTGGCTGGTCAAGCTGGTTTTAGCTGGTCATCTCCCTGCCAGACCATCTAAGACCAGGCTGGAAATGGCTGGAAACCAGCCTAGAAATGGCCAAAACCCCTCTAAAACCAGCCTGGTCGACCAGCTAAAACCAGCCAACCAGCCTAGGCTGGTTTAAGCTGGATTTTTCAGCAGGGAAGAAACCCGGAAGTAAAGGATCAGCACTGTAAACATTGCAACAACATGCTGTGTACTACAAGCCTCCAGCTGTCGCCACGATTTCACAATGCAGAAATGGTGTAAACATCACTTTAATAACATTCTGTTCAGTTTAATTTAAACAATTAAAGGCATGTTTGTGCTGCCTCACAGATTTATTATAAAATCATACATGTAATTTGCCATATATCAGTCAGATTTCTATGTGGGGCAAGCAAAAAGTGATTTGCACTCCACCTTCAGACCAAAGTCGGTCTCCACAAGTAACTGCAGACCAAGGGTGTAGATGTTAACTTTTCCTGGACCCAGTTTTAAAGGCAGATACAGGCGCTCCTTATTCACCTAAAAGAGATAAAGAGATTCTGTCAAATCTTCACACTTGTCTCATTAATAGTCTCTTTCATGCATGAGTCATCCCTTTCTCCCCCACGTCCTTGCTATGCTTCAAATTCCTTTAATTGAATTCTTTATATCTTTTGTTCGGATCTGTTAACATGAGTTCAAAAGCCAATTTCTGGATGAATCACTCGCTCTTTAGTTCTCTAACTTCGTTTTCTTCCCTCCTCAATCTTTATTTGATCTAAAGTTCCTTAGATCTTCCAATGGCGTTGTGAACTCATTCCAGACGTCACTCAGTTATGAGTTTCCCTCTGTATCTGCTCCAGTATGCTAACAGATGATGGCTGAAATATTATACCTCTCACATGAAAAATTTACTCCTTTGTTTGGCTCTTCTGTCTGGATGATTAAAATAACTTTGTGTCATAAAAATGAGGAGTTTGACCTTCGAAAGGTGGTGTTCTAGAATTACACGTGAATTCTTGTGATTTATAAAATGTTTGACGCTCAAGCTAATGGCCCAAATGTTTATGAGTACAGTAGCTGTCTGTTCCAGTGCAGGTGTAGAATTTTGTACTGATCCAAATTAAGCTTTGGATCATATCTGCACACATGGCAAAGCAAATACAATCATGATGTTGTTGTCAAAAACGGTAACACTTAACATGAAGGTGGGGTTCATGAAACCTTTATAATCATACGTGAATGAGATTTTGTTCATGCTTATGACAACCGTCCTTAAGTGTCATAAGCACTGTTATGCTATTTAAAATGCAAAGATGACATTGTTTGAGATGTCGTTATGACAACTTCCCAGCAGGCACACAACGTTAAAAGTCGTTAACATTAGGTTAGAGTTAGGTCGTGATGTTGGGGAATAGAAGTCATAGTGGTAACGTCCACACAACATTAAGCTGTAACATCATTAGACATTGATATTTGGTTGCTTTTAGGTTGCATTGAAAAGTAACCAAAATGTAACGTTCATCCAACATTTCACTCTGACTTCATGTTCTGACGTCAACATATTTTTCATTCCACTCAAAAAGCAAAGTCCCCAACTTTGGGGGTGCAACGTCAATCTGACATCATGTTGACATCCTGTGCCTGCTGGGTTGACAACCAAATACAATCACAACCTGTCTTTGTCATTGTCATGACAACCTGACATTATCAAAACATAATTTGTCATAAATCTATCATAAACATGAGAGTCATGAGAACATTATAATATCGTGAATATTTTTCACAGTTTTTATTTCATAGGAACAAACTAAATTTGTTATAAAATGTCATTTAAGTGTTAATACTCTGTAAAACATTTATTACAACACTGTAATTATATATATATATATATATATATATATATATATATATATATATATGTTAATGACACTGTTATAAAATTCATAAAACAATTATAATTGCCTCATGAAAATCATGTTCATGATACATTTATGACAAATTATATCAAGTTGTCATGACAAAGACATCTCAAACAATGTTATTTTAGCATTTAAAATGGCAATGACACTTGTCATAAGCATGCATAATATCTCATTCATATTTAAGACATGTGCCATGTCAAGATTATAAAAGTCGTATGAATCTTAACACCCCCTTCATGTAAAGCAATACTGTACCTAAAAAACTATTTTTGACTCTTGGATTTGGCACTATTATGGCCCGTTTCCACAGAGTGGTATGGTTCGGTATGCTTTTATGGCCGTTTCCACTGTCAAAGGGTACCAAAAAGCGAACCGTACCTTACCACTTTTTGGGTACCCTTTGCAAAGGGTACCTAGCACGACAAAAGGGTACCAAAAGATGGAGCTAGATGCGCAGCTGAACACTATTGGTTTACAGAGATAAGTCACTAGCGCACACAAGCAGGAGAATGAAAACAAAGCAACAGGCATTTTTAAAAACACAGCCTTTACACCGTAATACTATATACATATAATAACAAGCCATGGTTGACCCAAGCTCAAACAAAACTTTGTTGTCGTCTTGATGAACAGCCACAAAGCTAAGAAGAACAAAATCTGCTGTGTCCTGACGTTGTTTTACAAGCCCCTTATAAAGCCTGATTTATACTTCTGCGTCAGGTGACCGGCGTAACCCACGGCGCAGGCAACGCGCGTGGCTGTGCATTTATACTTCTGCGCGCTGTCTCTGCCGGTCTGCATTAACACTTCCGAAACGCTAGTTGGCAGTGATGTGTAAATGTTCCTCTGTGTCGAGTTTCTTCGCTACTTTATTGCATTTCCTGAACACTTCCGGGATGTACAAGTGGCTCAAACTCGCTCATTTTGAGGCAGGAACCGGCGGACGTGCAACAACTTTAACTATGAGGTAAACACAAAACAAAACTTTCCATCCGGAGCTCCTTCACGGGACTCCACACTTGTAAACAATCGCTCGCGCGGCGTCGCGCCATTCGCGCGCCTCTCGGTCCCGCCCAGACTCGTCAGCGCTACCAAGCCGACCAATCACAGAGCTTATGCTACGCGTCGTTGCGACGTGTAGTTACATTTTTTGAGAGGTGCACGTCAGTGACGGCGATGGCCACGGCGAAGGGCTATGCGTCAGCGCCGTAGCATACGCCGGTGTTTGACGCAGAAGTATAAATCAGGCTTAATAGTACGTCTACATTGAAACAACAAACTTCTTGAGCTCATATTAATAACATGCGCTTGATCATTGAATCGCTTCTGACATCCGATCCTTTCAGAAATGGACAAACGGGAGAGTGAAGCGCAAAAAAACAAAGAAGAAACTGGAAAAACAAAGGCGCAAATGATTCTTTCAGCAAACAAATTGCCATGTTCAACTATTATGATCATCTTTTGGACTATTATGAACTCAGAATGACAGAATAACTTTCTAGCAAGAGTTTACATGTGCTGGTGAAGATTAAACATACAGATGAGAGGTTTGCTCTGACTGGGCTGTATTTTGTGTTGTTTTTTACCCAAATAAGGACTAAATGTATGCTGTGTGTAGTTTGTCTGTAGTTGGTAAAATATTGGAGACTGTAAGGGTCTGTATGTGTTCGTAAATGTTGCATTTATTTATTTTATTTTTTATATAATTGCAGATGTTACAGTCTGATGATCTGCAGTTATAATCAAATTATGTTCATAGAAAGGTTAGTAATGGACATTTATATACAAATATTTATGTGTAGAAAGCCTCTGTTTTGTGAGAGGTGCTTCTTATATGTGTACGACCCATAGAGCTTTACTTTGACATTTCCTCAAGCGAGAATGGCATCGACTGAAACTTTCTGTCGTACACCACGCCTACCAATTGGTACCATTGGTACCCTTTTGGCAGTGGAAACACAAGCCTGATAAAGGTGATCCATACCGTACCGTACTGTACCACTCAGTGGAAATGGGCCATTAGAACAAACACCTACAATTTACATTAGTCATCATTGACACATTCTTACCGTGACTGTATGTTTAAAGCTTCGTGACACCTCAATTTCATATCCGTAGACCTCCAGAACAAATCCTCGCACCCATATCGCCTGGCCAGTGTCTCTTTCTTCATTCCGTACTGATAACTGGAAGTTGGGCAGTCCTCCCAGAACTGTCTCAGCACTGTCTAGTCCTCCAAAGCTATCCTCATCTCCTTCTCCGCAGTCAGTAGTGGCAAGACGAAGAGTACAGCTGCTCTGAAGGTCAAACGGCACACCTCCAAATGGCAAAAAGTGTGCATATCCAGCAACAGCACACATGGCCTCAGTCCTGGGCTGACAGAAAAAGAGGCCTTCGTTCTCTTGGCAGTACTCCTCTGGGTGACAGGGTGAGAAGGTGCAGTAGACGCTGTTGTCGGTGCCGTTACAGAAACAGCGCTCCTGGCATTCCCAGTCAGTCCAGAATGTCTCATTGGTGGCCAGTTGGCGACCCAGGTAAAAGCAGCCACAGTCACTGCGTGCTACGCAGATGCCGTCGCGAAGGGCAAAACCCTCCTCACACTGACAGCCCTCAGAGCAGGGTAGAGGGCACGGCTCTTCTGGTTCATCCAGATTAGAACAGGTGAGAGGGCATGCAGATGTACACTCATCGAAGTGACTGTTTTCTGGGCAGGGTAGAGCTAAAGAAAGAAAAAAACAACAAAAATAGTTATGTGACATGCATGGAAGGTATCTTAACGGGTAAAGAGAGTAGGGATGGTCGATACAGACTTAAAATGATATCAGAATATTTTCTAGTATTTATTGTTTGAATTATATTATTGATGATATGTATCCACTGAGAAAAGCATTTGATTTTATTTTACCAAAATAAAATCATTAACTCTGCTTCTGGATGCCTGCCGTCATGCAGAGCTCAACCATATTTAATCACACTGAAGCAGCTGGTCAAGCTTTTCAGGATCGTATACCATACAGAAGCAGAGCTTTGAGTTCGAGACTTCGAGCATCCATTAAAATGTTATTTCTTTTTCATTCATACTGGACACTAGAGTGCGCCTCACACAATCTCCACATATATGTTACTGAAGAAACAATGTCAGCTAGGGTGAGCTATCACATCAAAAAGGTAATGGTGGGCAGAGCGAAGCTTTCAGAAACAATGAAACAGTCGAAAGCAAATGTGTCGACACTTCCAAACCTGTCTGTACAGTGCCACCTAGTGGTCATTTTTTAAGTATTGCTCTTAAAAACAGTTAGGTGAGGTGAGGAATTATTATTGTTTTGACGAGACATCATGGAGTGGTTAGTTTACTTGACTGGCATACAGATGTACTTAGTTCGAATCGCATACGAAAGTGAACACTGCTGGGAAATGGAGGAGTGGGGAGGTGATGTTGGGCAAGAAAGTTATAAGCATGGTTGCGGCTGAGGTTGTAGTGGTTGCCTCTATGGATGAATTAACTTTTTGGAAATAAATGTGTTGCTTTGGTCAGAATTTTATTTATTTTTTTATTAATTTAAGATATTAAGTCACAATTTCCGAATGCTTTACAAGTAGGTATTCGATCTCAGGTCATTCACAGCACATTCCACTAGGTTACGAGAGATTGTGGTTTTGTTTATGACCCTGTCAATCAAAGGCAGATTTGTCAGCTATCGGAATGTAGTTACTTTAATCACGTGACCTATGTGTTTCCAAATGTTTCTGAGCAGTGTTTTGAAACATCTTCAATTCGGAATCTCGAGGCCGTGTCGAAACTTTAGTCTTGCATCAGCCATCCTTACAAAGAGGATCAAGATGGTAGAAATGGATAAAACATGAAGAAACTAAACAAATGATTTTATACAGTTATTATTTGGGTTCTTCAAGGCCCCCTGGCAATTTTATAAGCATCCGCCTTTATTTAATATAAAATATTATGATTTTGTCTTCATTCTATCATATTAAACCATGTCTAGACACAAAAATGATTATTGCTTGCAACTGGTGATATGAAGTAAACCTAAAGTGAAAATATGCCAGTAAATCTCCTTTTTGTAAACAGGTTCAAACCTGCAAAACTATAACACACGTACAACTGTAAACAATAACTTATTGCACAGACCAATGATAGGCTTTTATCGTTATTATTACAATAAGTCAATTTTTACTGGTAATTATTCAAACATGCAAAACATAAATTATAGGTTTTTAACATTATTATTACAATAAGTAAACTAGTTTACCACGGGCAGAATCTTTACCGGTATACTTTAAATGATACCCATACAATATCGCCCATCCCTAAAAGAGAGAGAATCAATCAAAACTCATACGGCAGTTGGTAGCACTTCTCCATGTTCCCAGGTTGATCTGAGCATCCTGACAAGCGGATGCATAAGCCTGCAGGGAGTTACACAGGGCAGAACGGTTTCCCTCCCTTACACACATGTTGTAGAGGCAGTTCCTGAAGAAAGGAGACGGATTAACCGCTGTATGGCAAGCTAGGAATGAGCTGTTTCCTGGGTCGTTGATGTTCCCACACAGCCATGGGCTCTGGTATTGCCGTAAATCTGTACACATGCGATACAAGTCCTCACAATCGCCATTGCATGTCAGATCGTCTGCAATAGCTCTCCAGCTTTCAATAAACTGGTCGGCTGAATCGGCCTGCCTTCCACTTGGTAGCCGGAGGTCATCGATTGGATCTCCGTTGAAAAAGCCACACAGACCACAGGTGGTGTTGTAAAAGAGAGTGGAGAGAGTGATGTTTAGTAGGCCTTGACGTGAGTATCGAGTGCGGACCAAGCCACTCCACTCAATCACCGTGGTATTACCAGAGGATCGGTAGATCATTAGAGGCTCCACTGGATGGACGTAAGGAACAATTGCTGGTTCACCATTGACCTAGAAGAGGGGTATGACATCATTAGGACAATCATACAATCATATTTCTTGTTTTGAGCAATATATTGAGTGTATTAAAGGGATAGTTCACCAGGAAATCATTTACACTCCTTGAAGTCCTTGAGAAGAAACTCATGAAGGTTTAAAACCACTTGAGGGTGATTAAATTCTGAGTAATGTTTATTTTGGGTAAACTATCCCTTTAAGGAGTATTTGTAGAAATAGTTAAATTTCTATTGTCAATTTTTATTCACAAGCCCGGAAACTGATTTGTTTCTTCTTCTTGAAATTAGAGTTTATGAAAGTAACCACAAACCTTGATCAAGTCGAAATCTGAGCCGCCTATCTGTGCTTCCAAATGACCAACCCTAACAACCACTGGCCGTAACCACGTAGGGCCTTTATTCACAAGCTTCCTTCCAATCTTCACCTCCACTGATGTTACATTTGCAGGCAAACGTCCCAAAGTTTTGACCAAGTAGAATGAGCTTTCATCAGGGAATGGCATCGTGGACCCATCAAATGTGGCCAGTATTTGTGACTGGGATAGCGAACATATTGCTTCGCGACGAGGGTAACACCCGAGCAACCCGACTTCTGCTGCACATACCTCGCCTTCGCCACAAGAGTCATTGAAGCATTTTACTTCACCCGCCGGGCCACACACACAACGCTGGGAGCAGTCTTCACCCACCTCACCCCCTTCCCCTGCCCAGAAAGTCTCGTTCAGGGCGTAATACAGGCCGTCACGTTCACACCCGCACTCAAAACGACGGACACAGCGGCTGCCACTCAGCACATAACCCTGGTCACACTGGCAGCCCTCGGTACATGGATGAGCACAGTAGAGATGAGATGTTAAGTCGGAGCAGGAGGCAGGACATGCACTTGTGCAGACTTGATAGTGGCTGTTCTCAGGGCATGTCAGTGCTAAGAGTCAGTAGCAAATGGAAAAATGGAAGGTTAGTGCAAAAGAGAGCACAGAAAAGACAATGTATACTTGGGGTGTGTCTCAATCAGCTCCCTACGCTGTAAAAAAATGCAAGGTTCCACACAAGTCATTCAGGTTGTTCCAACACAAATTGTTTATTAAACAAATATAAGTGGATTGAACAAAAAGCTGTCCCAAATAATCTCAAGAATTGTGTTGTCTCAGCATATTAAACAAGTAGTTTAAACAATAAACAAACTATTTTTTGTGTGTAGTTCCTAAGGTTATGGATCATAAGGTCATGCACATGAATCTGGGCACTAGTAATGACAGTGATTAGCTTGGTTCAACACACATTAGGACACTGAGTGTGACAAGAGATGTTGATCTTATGCAAACATCCCTTAAGAAAACATATGCAGTATCTTAAAGCAGGGGTCACCTCTCCCTGGAGAGCTACCTTCCTGCAGAATTCAGCTCCAATCCTGATCAAACACACTTGAACCAATTAATAGGACCATAAGCAGCACTTGATCATTCCAGACAAGTGTGTTTGGACAGGGTTGCAACAGAAATCCTGCAGGAAGGTAGCTCTCCAGAAACAGGGTTGGTGACCCCTCGAATATAGTTTGTTAAAAAATGCATACTTGCATACTATAAAGCAGGAGTCACCAACCCTGTCCCTGGAGAGCTACCTTCCTTCAGAATTCAGCTCCAAACCTGATCAGTCACACCTGAACCAATTAATAGGACCTGAAGCAGCACTTGATCATTACAGAAAGGTGTGTTTGGGGTTGCAACTGAAATCTGCAGGAAGGTAGCTCTCCTGGAACAGGGTTGGGGACCCCTCCTATATAGTAAGTTAAAAACAGTATGTGAGCCGAGTAGTATTCACAAAACATTATCTACTACCTACTACCTTTGACTACTACGTGAGGTGACGCAACTGACACGGGTAGGTCATGTAGTATGTCCACGTTACATTTATACTACCCAGATTCATGCTATACAGAACTTACTTTTTTAAAGGTTTTGTAGATTTAAATTTAAATGTAGAACCTACTCGAATAGTACTGTAGGTGACAGTGCACTGTGGGGCTTTTTAGGGCACGGACGTTTCATTGCACTGGAAAGACATTGCGATTGGGACAGCACTGACTATTGAACAAGGGAGCAGATTGAGACACACCCTTGGTTTAACCTGTCTAAAAGCCCTCTCTACTGATGTTAAATTAAGGTCACACCTGATATCACTCACCACAGAACGAGCGTGATCTCCAGGGTCGTATGGTTACTCCCAGGGCTTGGCATGCAAGGGCATATGCCTGTATAGCTTGGCACAGGGTGGTGATGTTATCACGATTGCTGCACATATCATAAACGCAGCTGTAAACAAATGCTGTTGGGTCTACCACAGCCCTGCAGTCTCTGAATGGCCCATCAGTCTTATTGATGAGCCCACAGTAGTCTGATCGAAAGTAAAATGCTTCAGCTGCCGGTTCACACATGCTACAGTTCTGGGCACAGCCGTCTGTACAACGAAAATCTGTGTCTTCAGCTCGCCAGCTACCACCCAGTTCCACTACGCTCTCTGCCAGAGAGCCATCTGGCAACACAGGGTCATCGGCAGGGTCATCGTTGTAGTTACCACATAGGCCGCAAGTGTTGTTGAAATAAGAGCTGGGGAGGGAGATGGAGGCGTAGTGCAATCCGTCATAGGTCACCAAGAGACCAAAGTCTGTTTCCAAAGCGACAGCAACGCCAGATTGGTATACCTTGACTGCGCCTAGCTGAAGTTGAACAGGGAGAGTCTTTATCAGGCCATCCACCTGGAACAACAGAAACACAAAGTGAAAGACATTGAGAAAGGTTATATCGCCTGTCTCCTGTAGAAACAATTTAATCTTCTAAGCTGCTATTCATGCTGATTGCACAGTTTAGTGGGAGGAGTAGCTTCGGATTTTAAAACATGAAGAGAGCCGACCTGCACAGTTCCCAGAGTTCCTTTGGGTAGTGTAACACGGTGATTGTACACCTCTACTGTCACGTCCCGCAGCCAGGACACCGTGGGCACACCACGGTTCTCATTCTTGGCCTCCACACTGAAAAAGGGCAAACCAGGCATTTCCCAGCATGGGCGAGCCAACAGGTATGAGCAAGTACCCTGCATTAGAGGTCAAGGAGATTGCATGGTATTGATAAATGATTGATTCTCGCATAGCTGAAGTTATTTTAATATCAGATGCACTTCATTCATTGTAATTGTAATCTAAAATAGATCAGGATTTGAACCTGGTTTTCTTTGCATACTAAAACAACTGTATATACAAAAGGTTTATAACATCTTACATTTTCTCACTGAACTGAGATGAAATGTGAAGTCTAAAGTTAAGATCAACAGGACAAAGTGCCAGGACTGCAAATTGCCCTCCCATTTAAAGATTTAAAAATTAAAATGGGATTCTTCTTAAGCCCATTTAAGACAATCTTTATAGTCGAATTCGAAGAAAGAAGATTATGGAATTTGTCTAGATAAAATCTTGATATGTCATGAGTACTAAATAGGCAAGACTATACGTTGCATCACATAATGTCTAAGACGCATATTCTGTTACCAAGAAGCCGCGTTACTTATAAATGTCTCTGTTATTGTCTGATTTGTTAGCTTATATCACAGGTGTCAAACTCAGTTCCTGGAGAGCCACAGCTCTGCAAAGTTTAGTTCCAACCCTAATTAAACACACCTGATCAAACTAATTGAGTCCCTCAGGCTTGTTTGAAAACTACAGGTAAGTGTGCTGAAGAAGGGTTGAAACTAAACTGTGCAAGGCAGTTTGACACCCCTGGTTTACACGGTGATTCCAGTAGTCACTCGCTAGGCTGCAAAAGTGCCTCAGCTATTGATTACCAACCTTTATCTTTTAATTTTGTCATGGTAGTGGTGACACCTCATACCCATACTGTTAACATATTTGTACAAAGCCTACTTCCATTTATTGGAAGTAATCCTCTCTCTTTCATTTTCTAATTTAAAAAGCTGTGTACAGAAGAGATTAAGTGCTCCTATTGCATAAAATCATTGTGGATGACTGAAGGAAAAATTCAACATGCTAGAGTTTCTGTGATGATGTTATGAAGCATTACAGACATGGCATTGCTTGTCATGCACTATGACATACTAAACAAGAAGAAACAATTGCGTCCCTACACCTATTTTCCATTTACGAATCCCTATAACTCCCTTTCGTGCCAAAATCAGGAAAAAATTGGAATGTGGGTTCATTGTATAACTTACCTGAAAGTGATAGAGGAACCCATCAAAGGTGTGGTAGTGAGGGTCTCCAAACACCACACAGGTGCTGGTGCGTGTGGGCTGGCAGTAGTAAGCCCCTTCCACCTGTTCACAGGTCTCTAACTGACCACATGGTGTTTCATGGCAGATGACCTCATTATCCAGGTCAAGACACCTACATCGTTGAGTACACTGGTCTGACAGCCAGAAAACCTCTCCACGTCTGTAAAATCGGCCTAAAATTTTTAAGAATACCATAGACACATTGAGAGAAATAGAGATTTGAGGTAAAAACATAAAATATCTTATGATGTAGATGTATATAAAAAAAATCATAATATAAATCTCTCTAACTATATCAATACATGCACTTTGTACCAATGTAGCTGCAGCCATTTGCTGGGTCTATTTGGTCAGCATCAATGCGGAAGAACCACCTTCCAGGGACATTGACATTAGTGGTCTGTTCAATGTTGACCACTTCGTTTGAACGGGAGCCTGGAAGGTTGAAGAAATGGCTGACATCCCCACCATTGAACCCTGCCTAGAGAGTGCAGTTATAGCAGAGAAAGATGTCATCTCATGATGTCGTGTGATTTCAGAGGGTGGAAATGTACCTGACACAAAGAGCCAGAAGAAAAGTCTGATTTTCCAGATTACCTGTGCTGTAGTTCCCCCCAGGCCTGTAAGAGGGTCCCCTCCACTTGCTGTGCCGGTGCTCCAGTGAATCTCTCCATAGTTAAACATTGAAAAATAAGCATGGCCATCTGAGATCAGAACTGCCTGAAATGTATTTACCTGAGGAAAAAAAAAACAGATTGGTCCAATTATCGTTTCATATCTAGATTAAAATTCAAGCATTTTCAAGAATTTACAGTATCCGTATGAACCCTAAAGCAAAAGAATATATCTCTTTTTTTCTCACTGGTGTAGTCTGGCTGCCCCCGTAAAAGGTGACTTGATTCCAGGTGGTAATGAAGACCCAGGTGGCAGTGAAGGATACCATATTCTTGAAGTATTTTCTGACGTCCTGAGTGGCCCTCTCCAGGATCTCTGTGTCTGTGCTTTCACGGTAGTACACATCTCCACGTATGCCATTATGCACATCAGCCCATAAAGGAGCAATGAAGGAGCGGCTGTCACTGAGGGGGAAAGCCTCTGGAGTGAACTGACTCACCTGAATGTTGAAGGAGATTACGCCATTGTTGTTGACCTGTTGGGGAAAAAAGATTGTCACACGCTGATTGCTTAACAGACTGTGGGATTACCTAAGGGTGCAACTCAATCAGCTTCCTAGCCCCAGAGATCATGGATAAGTAGGTAGTGTACATGAATTTGGGTACTGGGAAGAGTAGAATTTATATGATTTCATTAATCCATTCATTCATTCATTCATTTTCTTTTTGGCTTAGTCCCTTTAGTAATCAAGGGTCACCACTAGTGGAATGAACCGCCAACTTATCCAGCATATGTTTTTTAAGCAGCGGATGCCCTTCTAGCTGCAATTCATAGGAAACATCCATATATGCAATAATTCACACACATACATTACAGACAATTATAACCACAATTATACCACATGTTTTTGGACTCGTGGGGGAAACCGGAGCACCAGGAGGAAACCCACGTGAACACGGGAAGAACAAGCAAACTCCACACAAAAACGACAACTGACTCAATCGATGCTTGAACCAAGGACCTTCTTGCCGTGAGGCAAACATACTACCCACTGCGCCACTGTGCAACACTATTTGATTTCTGTCAAATTTAAAATTTACAATTTTATATAGCAGGCGTCCGCCCAAATTGCACCCTAAACCCAACCGTCTTTAGGGATTGAGAAAGACGAGAAATTGTAAAAGTTTTAATTTTAAAAATGAGCCATGCCCCCAAATTCTTCCCCCAAACCTAACCCTAATCAGAGAACAAGAAAGACCCCAGATCAAAAATGTATTACGTACAATCTTAAAAAGGAGGCATGCCCCCAAATTCTACCTATAAACCCAACCATCATTGGGGAATGAGAAAGATGCTTGATGAAAAATGTAAAAGTTACATTGTTTTAAAATGAGACATGCCCCCAAATTCTACACATAAACCCAACCACCATTGGGGAATAAGAAAGACCCCAGATCGAAAATGTAAAAGTTATCATTTTAAAAAGGAGGCGTGCCCCCAAATTCTACCCCTAAACCCAGCTGTCATTGGGAAACGAAAAAAGACCACAGATCGAAAATGTATTACGTACTATTTTAAAAAGGAGACATACTACCAAATTTTACGCATAAACCCCACCCTTATTGGGGAATGAGAAAGACCCCAGATCCAAAATGTAAAAGTAACAGGTTTTAAAAAAAGGCATGCCCCCAAATTCTACCACTAAACCCAACTGTCATTGAGGAATGAGAAAGACCCCAAATCAATTGTAAAACTTACCATTTTAAAAATGAGACGTGCCCCCATATTCTACTTCTAAACACAACCCTTATTGGGGAATGAAAAAACCATTGTCCTTCCATATCAATGCATAATAACCAACATCTGATCCAAATAGCATAAGCAGGCACCATATAGATTGATATTGAACTGCCTACCAGCAGTTGCCTCCTTGCCCCTGCTTCTTTCTATGGGCTGATAACCACTGATAACAACCCATTTAGTTAAATGATTTAATTGAAATTAAAATTTATAACCAACATTTTCCAAGTTTTTAAAAGTACATTATAGCTAAATAATTGTATTGTTTGACACACCAGCAACATTTCAACCATTAAACAATTATAAATGTTTGCTAGATTGTTCTTAGCCTGTCTGGCTATGTTCCTTCATGGTAAATATAAATAAAAACAGTTTCTTTTTAGAAAAATATCTTTCCTTTGTCAATATGTTTGATGATTTGGCTCTGAACTTCCATTAAGGGAGTATAGTGAGCATCGATAGGATGAATTTCACAGTGCATTCAGGAAATGAATGTATCAGTACACTGGAAGAATTTTATGATTGAGACAGCACTTAAAATGGCTGACTCCCTGATCAGTGCACTACTGAACAAGGGAGCTGATTGACATGCACCCTAAGTTCCTGAATTGAAAGTCTATGAGGTTTTAATGAGATTTCTGTCGATTTCTCTCACAGTTCTCATTCTTATTTTGGACACTTACATATAGAGACCTATAGGGCACATTGAAGAATATAAATGGAATTAGAAGTGGGATCTCTGGGGAACTGCCATCGTCCATCTTAGGGGTTTCTAAATCCCTGTGAGCTGGTCCAAAGGGGTAAAGGGTATCCTGAGAAAAGGCTACGGAGAGGAAAAGACAATGATATAGTGAAAAGCAGATTTACAGTACATAACTTCAGTGATGTGTCGTAGGTCACAGTATTCAACATTTGAAGTGGTTTCAAAATGGTTCTAAGACAAGTATGGGTGTTGTTCAATAGTTTTAGGACAACGTTAATGAATGAACTTCAAAGGTTGACTACTATGTGCCTCCTGACATCGAAACATTCTTTTCATGCTGAAGAAGTCACTTATACTGACTTAGAAAAGGTTTTGGGCCTTGACCTTTCAGTCTTTTACAACATAATTACTTAATTGATTGGCTCTTTGTTTAGTTCCTTGGCTCTTTTTTGTCTGTTAGTCACTATCAATGCTCTTGAGAGTGTTCATAGAGAGTAGTGAAAGACATCCCTTACCTCCGCTGGGAACGAGGGTGCTGAAGAGCTGGAGCAGAGAGACTAAAGTGCCTGTTCTGACCATCCTAAACACCTACGAAAACATTGATGCGCATATTTGACTTTAAATACTCAGAGTATCAAATATAAGCAATGCAAACTGTAGCACCACCACCCTTGAGGGGGTTGCAGATCAGATAAGAACCACAGTGTAATATCTTTCAAATTTAAACACTGTTTCATATAGGGCACACCAGTTGTACCACTTGGCATCTCTCTATGGCACCCATATGACTCAGGAGGCTGTTGTGCCACCTAAATCGTATTCCATTAAATATACAGTATATTTGTCTCAAAATGTTGTAACAAGAACTCCTTTATTTTGTTTAATTTTTCTCAAACTGAATACAATGCAATATCCGGTATGGGCAGCACAATATATCATAACATATAACGTTGAGTTTGGGTTATAGTTGACCAGGAGGCACAGTTCACAACACATGAGATTTATAGAGTCGCTGCAGAGTTTAACTATAATGGAGTGAAAGTTTATTGTCTGATTTTTTTTTGCAATATCGCTATACCTGTAACACTTCTCATCTAGTATGCCAATGGTTCTCAAAGTGGGGGTCGCGGGACAATGACAAGGGGTCGCTTGGTGATATCCAAAACTCAAATAAATTTTATTAAACTATTAGAATTACCATATTTTATTCATAACCGACAGAATATAGTTAATAGTTGCATTAAAGAAACAACAAAATAAAAATAACAATCAGTCATCAGCCTTTAATTTTAAAAGCAAAATATAATTAAATCCATAAATGACTTTAAAAAACATTATATGGCTAATAGACTGTTGCATTTTTGTGTTGTCAATAAGCTCATGTTTATATTTGCCTACAGTTGTGTCTGCAACGTTTACAAATTTACAGTACAACCACCTTGAAAAATGGGGGTCGCGAGCCACTGATATGATTATTTTTGGGGTCGCGGGCTAAAAAGTTTGGGAACCCCTGTAGTATGCGACCACCTTTCATCAGTTATTTTAAGACGAAAGTCGGATATTTATATAAATAAACAAGTAGGCCAAGATACATTTGTCTCCAATCTTCCCTGGTTTAAAGAGCAGTCTCCCAGGTCTCCCATGGGGGCATTCTGGCCCTTTCTCCCTCTCCATGGTGGGCTTGTTCACCATGGGCTGAAAAGCTTCTATTATGTGATCGGGAACAATGTGTTGGGATCACATTCTCCAGCACTACCGTGTGAGTGGGCTATGGTGATGCAGTTCCAGGCCTGCACAGTGCCAATGAGCCCGCAGCTGGGAGAACTTGCCTTGCTCCTCTCCATCGTCTGAAGGGTCCATTACCAAGTGTTTATGTGCTATGACTTGTTGGCATCAGAGAAAGGGCTGTGAACAGTGGGGCTAATGGGTTTAATTTAGCAGGCTTGAGTTGCCAGGGTCTTTACGGCTACCCTGAGGGGCTGAAGTTTGGGTTTCACTCCCTTTAGATTCACCCAGCCTCAGTGTGCCAAAATAAATGGACATCCTCTCGCAAATCAGGTATATCAGGTGAAGGGAATTATAGGGAATTTAAATTATTCTGATGGCGAAACAATTTCAGTTGGAGCTACTTTGTTTCATCAGATTCATTATTTTAGGTAGACCCAAATGTAGTTTATGGATAGCCAAACAAAAGTAAGTAGCACGGATTTAAGTGTACACATCCAAATGATATCCCACTTTAAATGAGTCTTAAGGTAAAACCTGCCTTAAAATAAACTGCTGAATATTTAAATAGAAAATACTGCTATAGGTTTGGTGTCAGATTGATTAATCAGTATACAACCTTTGCTGATATATTAAATAAAAATATATATAAATATATATTTTGTTTAATTAGGCTTAATGTCATTTGTGTCATGGATTATGTAAATTCATTATAGTGATCACTGGAATGATGAGATCTAATTTCACACAATAAACCAAACAAAATCTCACAATGTCATTATAGGTCCATTAATCAACACAGTTTGAAATGCAAGTGCCATTAATTTAACACAGCCTACAATGTTAGAAACAAAATTAGATGGACCTTTAGTTAAGGACATTGCTTTGCCTTAGAATATATTTATCCAAAAGTGCCGAATTACATTCACTGTTCAGCTGTAGGACAAATAATTTAACAGCTGAAATTGTTATACTTATTAAAAACAATATAAATCGAGTAAATCTAAAATGTTTTTTGAGTTATTCAAATAAAGAACACTTGATAGTTGAGAAAATACAGTAGTCAGCATTTGAAGTGGTTCAAATCATTCATTAGCTTGTCCTAAATCTACTGAACACCACCCTTTATGGTTTTAAAACAATTTTAAAAAACATATTTGATCCACTTTAAATGTTGACTACAGTATGTATGAGTGGAAAACTCATTTAAAAAGTAGTTTGTCATTTACTACATCAAGGAATCATTAAATAAAGCTAATATTAGTTCAAGCTCTCTTTTCAAATACTATTTTTCCGTTGCCAAATAGGAAATAAAATCCACCTTCCAACATAACCTAAATCTAGTCTCCTGAGGAAAGCCTATGTCTTTTGACAATGTCCTGTATAACATTCTCCATCATGAAACCACAGCACAGACAAAACTGGCATTTGATGAGATTCCCAAGTGAACCATGAGATACCGTGTGAGATGCCAACAGGCAAATCCATTGCTCTCCACATCACATTACATAGACTGGCAGAGTTCATTTGGCTAACCTCTCAGAAACCGATCTCAACCAAGCTGTCTGTCTGACGACTGGCATTAATACCAATGATAGATGCTATCAAAATTACTTAGTTACCAACTGGCAGTTAAAACCGGTGTTTTACATTTTCATGCACAATATGTGTTACCAAAACAGAGAAGGCAGGTATAAAAGAGCACCAGAGCATCACTGACAAGGAGCAAAAGACAGCAAACTTGTCTTAAGAAAATAAAAGTTCTTAAGTTCAAAACCCGGAGCAAGAAATCAGCACTCACCTGCCTTCAGAGGACGGAAGTTCAGCACGTCACCTGTGCATCAGCCTCAAAGTCACATCCAAGTGGGTACCATCAACGCAGTCTCAAGAGCGGAGGGGCTCTGCTCTCGGATGCAGAAAAGGGAGGGGGATACTGCCCAGAAAAACCCTCCTAAATCCTTCGCTCACACAGAGCTCTTTCCTGGTCCAGTTCCACCGGACAACCGCCAAAGACAAGAATGGCAAACACGGCCTAATCTGTGCCTCAGGGTACGCTTGATTTCAAAGAGCAAAAGTCTGGAGAAAGTGATCTCAGAATGAGAGGACAGAGGAGGAGTGAGTGTGTGGGTTTCCTGTACGGTTCTGCTGGAGGGAGACGCATCAGAGGCAGGCGCTACCTTTTGCGTCAGGGATAGTGTTAAAGTTAATCTGAGATCAGTTTTTTGGGGAAGGGGGAGGATAGGAGAGGGAGTGTGGATGGAGAGAGGGGTTGAGACTTTCGAGAGAGAGAAAGAGAGAGAGAGAGAAAACAGCAGCAGAATGGTAAAGTGAGGGTGGATGACAGAAGGGGGGTAGAGCTGTGGACCAGTGAAGGGTGGCGTTTAGTAAGAAACTTAAGGGAAATATTGAAACCAGAGCTGAAAGCACAAAGAGGATTTCTGAAGAAAATGTCAACCCTTTGGACCAAAACCTATTCCCTAGATAGCAGCCCTCTTCATAGCTAGTGCACAGTCCAATGCATCTCTTTAGGGGCTCTCCATCCCACCCTTGGGGCATTTATTTACAAAAGGAAACACGGCAGAAAAACATTGCTTTATTTGATTGCTAAAAAGGAGAAGAGGTTAGGTTACAACATTAACATGAATCAGCTTGGACACTCTATGTGTGCGCGTGTGTGAGCAAATCAGTGCTCCCCCTCCTGTCTTACTGGGCTCTCTGCACCAATTAAGGACAGCCTCATTTGCAACAGCTCACTCAAGCCTGGGTTAGTCTCCAAATGGGACTCATTTCCATAGATGCAGTGGCGAGATAACAACAAAAAGGAGGGAAATCATTGGTGCATCCACGGTGATAGGGTCTGGGAAGGAGATGGGAGTGAGATCTGAGTCAGAGTCAGCATTGTTTCTAGGAGGACAGTGGACGTAACTAGATACCAGAGGGGGGCAGGATGTGTGAAAGCCGACTGGACGAATGCAGACCCCAGATTCCCTGTGACCAATGTGGGGGTCCCAGCGGAGGGTTCTTTTACACCTTGTTGCTTTGTTGTGTAAATGCAGCCCATACTCTTAACCAAACTAGTGCACAACAGGACACAGAAAATTTGACAAAGAGTGCAATGTGGTCCCAGACTGACTGTTGGGCAGTTGAATCATCTTGTGCTGAAATGACCAGATACAGAAGAAAGAAAGAGTGAGTAAGGACAACGAGACAGCAATCACTATCTTCTCACCATCATCTGCTTCTGCAGTTGTAATGAGCTTACTAATGGGGTATTATCATTCTGTGTCTTGTCTTTTTTAAATTGTCCCTTATTGTAATTCATGTTGTCCCACAAACAAGAATGTTGGAATAGGTCAAATCAGATGAGATGATCCCGCATCTTTACGAGCAGTTTTAGTCCCACCAAGAAGAAGAGATGGCTATGAGCTCGGTGATAAGTGTTAACTGCCCTGTCTGGGCATTGGAGTCAAGTGTCTGATAAAATGTAATCGCAAACTGTCAGCCCCATCGACCACCTGCCAACCAAACCTGGCAGATCAGAATCAGGCTGACCGAATTACCATAATGTCAGTGGGTACAACAGGGGCCTTTGGAGTCATCGAACCATTTCCGTGGGAAAGGACTCAAGCATAGATGAGCACTACAGTTGCTTGCTGGTAGGTCCACCAAGGCCTGACCCTGTAAGTTGAAAAAGGTCCTGGACAAGAACCTGGCTAGGTCATCCAATATCCTAATTTTCATCCAAACCCCCTCACTGCATCCAACGCCAAGCAGTTGCTTTGCCCTCATTTTCTTTCCTTTCCTCAACAATGTCAAGCCCCCTCAAGGTAACTCAAACCTTCTCAGAAAACATCTCCCCCTCCTGGCCACACAATGAGCTTCCTTCAGCTTTCCTTGCTCCATGGTGCACAGGGTAGATCAGGCTACCAGCTGCCCGGCCAGTTCTTTTTGCTCTAGCTACAGAGTGAGGCGATTAAAAAAAACTTTCTTAAAACCCCCACCTATCCAAAACACACCAAATCCCTCAGCAGCTCCCAGTGTGACCTTGCCTTTGTAGCCCACCCCTGCTTTCATGCCCTGGTAACCCCTTGTCCCTCTTCCCCTTTAGATTGGCACAACTCTCAGTGTTGCCGATCCACCAGTGAACTCTGGCTACTGCTGCACTCTGGAAGGCTATGCTGCCCAATAGTAAAGCCACTAAGGAGATGGAAGTTTAAAGTCTTGATTGGACAGAGCTGTGGCGGACTCTGAGAGTGTGACAGCGATGCCAGATTTGGCACGTGTAGCTTTCACCTGTAGGCGTGACAGGGACAGGCCGACACTTCCGAATGTGGTGAAACCAATTAGACATGACGCTTTTTATCGGCCAAACTGCTGCGGTGATCCAGGTGGCAGGGC